CAGCGTCGAAGCGAAGCTTCGCCGCCATCAGGAGCAGTGCAGGACTGTATAGTGCGGTGCAGTGCGGTGCAGGGCGGTACCGTGCAATGCAGTGCGGTGCAGCTCGGTGCAGTGCGGTACAGGTGATGGGGGACCGTACCAGGGAGGATGCAGGGCCGGGGCAGGGACGACGAGCGGGCCGCACACAGCTCGGGGCAGGACGGGCGCGGGGGCCAGGAGCAGCTGGCACCAGGCCGACGGGACGGGCGCGGGGCCGGCTGGGACGGGCGCAGGGGCCGAGCAGACGGGCGCGGAGGTTGCGAGGGCGGGCGCGGGGCCGGCTGGGACGGGCGCAGGGGCCGAGCAGGCGGGCACGGAGGTCGCAAGGGCGGGCGGGCACGGCGGGGCCAGGCAGACGCAGCGGGGCCAGGCAGGCGCGGCAGGGCCAGGCAGACGCGGAGGGGCCAGGCAGGCGCGACGGGGCCAGACAGGCGCGGCGGGGCCAGGCAGGTGCGGCGGGGCCAGGGCGGTGCAGTGCGGTGCAGGGCGGTGCAGGGCGGTACCGTGCAATGCAGTGCGGTGCAGCTCGGTGCAGTGCGGTACAGGTGATGGGGAACCGTACCAGGCGCAGCGGGGCCAGGCAGGCGCGGCAGGGCCAGGCAGACGCGGAGGGGCCAGGCAGGCGCGACGGGGCCAGACAGGCGCGGCGGGGCCAGGCAGGTGCGGCGGGGCCAGGGAGGCGCGGCGGGGCCAGGCAGGCGCGGCAGGGCCAGGCAGGCGCGGCGGGGCCAGGCAGGCGCGGCGGGGCCAGGCAGGCGCGGCAGGGCCAGGCAGGCGTGGAGGGGCCAGGCAGGCGCGATGGGGCCAGGCAAGGCGCGACGGGGCTAGGCAGGGCGCGACAGGGCCAGGCGGGCGCGACGGGGCTAGGCAGGGCGCGACGGGGCCCAGGAGGGGCGCGACAGGGCTAGGAGGCGCGATGGGGCCCAGGAGGGGCGCTAGGAGGTGCGACGGGGCCCAGGAGGGGCGCTACGGGGCTTTGAGGTGCGACCGGTCTAGGAGGCGTGACGGGGCCCAGGAGGGGCGTGACGGGGCCCAGAAGGGGCGCGACGGGGCCCAAGAGGGGCGCGACTGGGCTAGGGGGCGCGACGGGGCTAGGGGGCGCGACGGGGCCCAGGAGGGGCGCGACGGGGTTATGAGGCGCGACGGGGCCCCAGGGGGGGGGGGGGGGTTGCTAGGGTACGGGCGGAACTGGTAGGTGGGGGATGCTAACCTATGCGTGATACCATGTTAAAGTGAGAACTGAATGATTGAGTAGAGCGAGAGTACAGGTGAATATACCTAAGCGTTGTACCCTCTAAGAGGTGGCCCTATACAGTCTATGCAAACATAGGAGATACACATATTTGACAGACTAGTAAGACAGCGGAAGTCTTGTAAGAATGAACGTGAGTATATTATTCTGTGGAAGTCAAGGTTAAAGTCTCAAAGTTGAAATCTCAAGGTTAACAATAAAATGGCATAACAAGGATTTTATAGCTGTAGGAAAGTACTTGTTCGCTAATGTTCCTGTTCGGCACTATCGCGCTATGCGCTATGCGACTATTCGCGTGACTGAAACGACTGTCCTCATGACGAGCGCTATTTGCTGACGTCATCCTACGGACTTATATTCTACAGTAGGATTCGACACTATCTACCGATAATTGACTTACAGAAATGCTAAGTATGAATTATATCACAACAAGGCGGACGTGGTAAATTGCGCTGGACTTCGTTAAAAGGGTGAAATCCATACAGTGTGTGGTTTACGATAAGAGAAAGTGATTTCTTTACACATTTGAAGTAAGAAAATGTGAGTGCAATTGGAGAAGTATTATACATACTCGGGAAAAAATCAAGCGTTTGTAACACCGGGGGGGGGGGGTGTAAGGACTTTCCATTCCTTACTGAGTCGCTCGCTACCGCGTACACCCGAACACTTCGACTCGTCACGTTCGGCCTACATTTTCGGCCCAACCCTTTCTCGAGTCGCGTCCGATAGCGTCGCCACATTGCCGAACCTATCCACGTCCCGAGGTTATCGCCCTATTACGTCCACTCCTATATAACCTTGTGCTTTCATGGCAATAGTGACGTTGTATTCTCATTATAGTACATTGACATCTTCTAAATCATAACAGTTGGTATCAGAGCCCGACCTTTCTCGGAACCTTCCGTTCTCAGGCTACTTAGTTAAGGGTGGTCAGAGGGGATTAGCACGGCTGCACAGCAGTTGCCTTGGGTCGTAAATATTTTTACGCCAGCAACTACAGCGTGTGCGCTAGCTTCTGCCCCGTCCTGACTGCCATGGCCTCGGTAGATTCGACGGTTGAGGAACAGACGACCTCGACTGCTGCGAACCCTGCCCGGGAAACTGTGGACCTGCAAGCATTAATGGAGCAGTTGAGTAATTTGACAAGCGTCGTCAACAACCTCCGCGATGAAAACCAACGACTTCGCCAGGCGCAGGAATGGCGTTCAGAGGAGCCGGGCGACGATGCACGAAGCGAGGCGGGTGAGCAGCAACCGTCGCCAGTTGAGTTGGCACGATTAGCAGCAACAGCCCCGCGCTCGACAAGTGGCGGCGTAAGATATCAGCAACCCGCTCCTTTCGACCCAGCTAATAAGGCGTGACGGTGCGGCAGTGGATATTCGCCATGAATATCTACTTTAACGCGGCGGGCATCCGAGACGATCAGAAGCTGATCAGCCACGCGTTGACAATGCTGCAAGGAGCTGCCCTACAGTGGTGGAAGGTCATCGTCGACTCAGCGGCAACTCGCACAGAAGGACAGCATGAGTGGTCTGAAGAATTCGGCTACGAAGACGAGGCAGATTTGCTGTTTGGTGCAACTCACATTCGCATGTGGGCAACGTGGTGCGCAGAGCTTCGCAAGCGGTTTGAGCATGCTCCTGACTCAGACAAAGCGCGCGAGACTCTACGCATATGGAAGCAGCTGGGATCTGTAACCGACTACACCGCGTCATTCTTGACGTTGGTGGATCGATGTGGCTACATGCACGAGTTGGAGAAGGTCGACAGGTACATGGGCGGGCTGAAGCCTGAAATACAGTACCAGATAAGATTACAACAACCTGCGAAGCGGTTACAAGACTTCATCCAACTCGCTGAAGCCGCTGATTCGCTCACGAAGCCGAGGATGAACTTCTACGACGGAGGTCGCCCTCGAGAACAGTACCAGCGCACCACGATAAAAGGGATGGATGCAGTGGACATTTACGCAGTCGCTCGGCGAAATACGGGGCTATGCTACCACTGTGGCCGACCGGGTCACATCAAACGCAACTGCCAAGAGTTCATAGCCATCCAGAATTCTATAGGGAAGAAGCCGGAGGAGCGACCGGGAAATGGGTCGCGTCAGTAAGTACCGGGCCCCTTACTGACGGGCAGGCTTCTTCGCCCGAGCCACACAGTCCCCACCGGGTCGTGATCCCGATTGCTGCAATCGACCGGACCCGGACGAATAAGGGGGACGAAACTGCTGATCACCCTGTGTTGGTGGAGGGTAAAGTCAACGGGGTGTTGCTGAAAATATTCGTGGATGGAGGCGCAAGTCACAGTCTCATACAGCTAGACAGGGCTAAGAAAATGGGTATCCCTGTATTAAAGTGTCTACCCGAAATCGACGCAAGACTGGTGGATGGGACACCGCTGGCTATACGGGAGCGGGTGGAGTACGTCAGTTTCCACTGGGGCGAGCACGTAAAATTTCGGATGGGGCTGCTGGCGACTACACTCGACGGGTGCGACGTGCTGCTAGGACGGGATTGGCTGCGATGGTGCAACCCGAAGATCGACTGGACAACGGGCAGCTGTAGCATCAAACTCGATGGGCGCTATCAGGAGTTACCGAAATGGACGGGACCCCGCATGCGAAGTACCCAAGTCCACGCGATCACCTTCAAGCGCGCGATAAAAGCGGGAGCAGCAGCGTATGCCGTCGACCTTCGCGAAGTGACAACACCGACAACAGCGGAAGATATAGCGAAGCTGTGTGAAGCCGTTCCCCCGGATTTAGCGGACCTGATTCGCAAATACCCCGAGATTTTCCCGGACGACCTACCCGCCGGACTTCCGCCCAGCCGACCCGAAGACCACCGCATCGAACTGGAACCAGGCGCACAACCGACAGTACAGCGACAATTTCGGCTCAGCCAACCGGAACTCGAGGAATTGCAGCAGCAGTTGGATTACCTCCTGACGAAAGGTTTTATCCGCCCAAGCACATCCCCATACGCCGCCCCCATACTGTTCACACCGAAAAAAGATGGCGGATTCCGTATGTGCATCGACTACCGCGCACTCAACCGCATCACCATCAAGTCCCGTTACCCGATCCCGCGAGCCGACGACCTACTCGACCAACTTCGCGAAGCCAAGTTCTTCTCGAAAATCGATCTGCGAGGAGGTTACCACCAAATTCGCGTCGCCGCCGAGGATTGCCACAAGACCGCCTTCCGAACCCGCTACGGTAGTTACGAATACCTGGTGATGCCCTTTGGCCTCACGAACGCGCCCTCGACCTTCCAGATGACCATGAACGGTGTTTTTCGCGAACTCCTGGATAAATGCGTAATTATCTACCTCGACGACATCCTAATCTACAGCCGCAGCAGGGAGCAGCACTTAAAGGATCTTTTGCAGTCTTCACGCTGCTACACAAGAATCGCCTCATCACGAAAGGGTCTAAGTGCGACTTTCTTAAGCAGGAGTTGGAGTTTTTGGGCCACGTCGTCTCTACCGAAGGCGTGAAAATCGACCCCAGGAAAATAAAGACCATACAGGAATGGAAGCCACCGACCAACCTCAAGGAACTCCAAAGTTTTCTGGGTTTTGTCAACTACGTCCGCCGCTTTATACCCAATATGGCCGGGTTATATGCACCGCTAACCGACCGATTGAAGGATCACGATTGTTTTTGGTGGGGTGAGAAGTAGCAAGCTGCATTCGATCAACTCAAAATCGCCCTCATGTCGCCGCCTGTCCTTCGCATCTCCGATCCCAACCGCCCATACGAATTCGTCACCGACGTCAGCGACATCGCCATCGGTGCAGTTCTCCTAAAGGATTTCGGCGACGGGTTACAACCAGTCGCGTACGAATCACGGAAGCTGCAAGGCGCGGAGAAGAACTATGCAGTGCACGACAAGGAAATGCTGGCGATCGTCCACGCGTTCAAGACCTGGCGGTGCTGCCTGACCGGAGCTGACGTCACGGTGCGGACGGACCACAAATCCTTACAGTACCTGCGCGCCCAACCGAACCTCAATCCACGACAGATCCGATGGCTCGATTTCCTCGAGTCGAATTTCCATTACACCATCACCTACAAACGGGGGGCCAATAATATCGCCGATGCCTTGACCCGCCCTACTGTCCATACCGCCGCGATACTAATCGCCCAGTCAAACCCATTACTTACATGACTATTCACCCACGGCTACAAGATCGATCCCTTTTTCCGCTCCGCTATCCATCAACAGCATACCACCGTTACTGGACCGTATTTTCATAAGCGCGGTACCTCTCGCATCTGGGTACCCGGCTACGATTTACTTCGTACCCTGTTAATCCAGGAATCCCACGACAACCCTACCTCAGGACATTTCGGCGTCGATAAAACCACGAAGATGCTGCAGCGGAATTATTACTGGCCGAACATGGCCGATGACGTACGCAAGTACGTGTCCTCCTGCACCGCCTGCCAGATTATGAAATCGTCGCATCAGCGAGCAGCCGGACTACTACAGCCGTTGGATCCGCCCGAGCGACCCTGGCAACACGTCACGATGGACTACGTGACAGGACTGGCGGCCGATCCCAGCGGAAACGACGCCATCCTCGTGGTCGTTGACCGACTCACAAAAATGGCGCACTTCATCGCCTGCCAACAGACAATCACTGCCGAACAAACAGCGCAGCTGTTCATCGCGAACGTCATCCGCCTGCACGGACTGCCCTCCGCCATCATCTCGGACCGAGACCCAAAATTCACATCGAATTTCTGGCGCCACCTGTGGGACCAATTCGGCACCAAACTCCAATTTTCATCCGCCTACCACCCACAAACCGATGGGCAGACCGAACGCGTTAACCAAACCATGGAGCAGCTCATTCGTACCACCTGTACTGACCCATCGACATGGGAGAAATCCCTTCCACTACTAGAATTCGCGTATAATAACGCGACCTCAGTCACAACCAATCAATCCCCATTCTTCCTCAACTATGGACAGGACCCGGTAGTACCCTTTACACCGAACATCGAGTCACCCGTGCCCCGATCCCAGAAATTTGCTGAAGACATTCTCGCCACTCGCGACAAAGCAGCTGAGGCCATCCGGAAAGCTAACCTAGTCGCAAGCCGACAAGCCGATCGACATCGATGCGACGTCACTTACAAAGTGGGAGATCTTGTCCTCATCGACACTCGCAATTTGCGGCTGCCGATCCCGAGCAAACTCCGACCCAGATTCTGCGGACCTTTTCAAGTGACCAACCTCGTGACACCTGTCACTGTCCACCTTCGGCTACCTGATTGGCGCCATCACCCGACTTTCTACGTCAGTCTTCTCCGACCCTACGACCCGAGTTCGTCGGACTTGGCACGCAGCCGTGGTGTACCGCAACTGACGCCTTTGCAGGAACCGACGACCGAGCCCTTGAAAATTCTCGGCCATCGCATCACCACGCAGCTGAACCGTCGGATGGTTGATTTCCTCGTCCACTGGCGAGATCGCACGTCCGAAGACGACAGCTGGGTGCCCCTCGCTGATCTAGAATCACATCCGATTCTAACGGCATATTACCAGCGTCGGAATGTCTCCGATGCCCACGGCCTCGTTTAGGAGGGGGGGGTAGTGTAAGGACTTTCCATTCCTTACTGAGTTGCCCGCTACCTCGTACACCCGAACACTTCGACGTTTGGCCTACATTTTCGGCCCAACCCTTTCTCGAGTCGCGTCCGATAGCGTCGCCACATTGCCGAACCTATCCACGTCCCGAGGTTATCGCCCTATCACGTCCACTCCTATATAACCTTGTGCTTTCATGGCAATAGTGATGTTGTATTCTCATTATAACGTGTCTTGGGGCATTCCTCCTCGCCCAAATCACCCAGCATCAGGGTTTTGTGGAGTAAGTTCGCCAGGTTTCTGGGTTTCTGGGGAACCACACCACAGCGCGCTGTCCGCGGTCAGTTCCGCTAATCGCCTCTAGTTTCGTGGCGCTTTGTTCGTGGTTAGTCTTTAGATTCCCAACCATTGCAAGATCGCGGCGATTTACTCCGTGCGAGCTACCGTTTGTTTGCTTGCAGCGAGCCGTTAGAGCGGTTCAGCTTGACCTGGACTAGTACTTTCTTCTGGGTAACAGCTTCAGCCAATTCCTTTGAAGTCTCTTAGTGTATTCTTCGATTTGTCAATACGTTGCAAGCACAACGCATTGTGCCTAGATAAGGTGTGTCATCTGCCGATTGTGCTGCTGGTGGATGTTTCAAACGCTGTCGTGAATTGTACCCTCTAAAAGACGACGCGGAGAGCGTGCGCGGGGGAGGGGCGTCAGGGATGGCGGGCAGCGAGGGCGGCGAGTGGAGGCGCGCGGCTGTAGCGCTGCTCGCGCGATTCCCGGAGCTACAGTCGGTGGACGCGATCCGACACGCGGCTGCGAGGACGCACCTGCGATGGGACGAGGTACGCTGGGCAGGCCAGGTACACTGTGGAATGGTTGGAGAAGGCGGAGAAATAAGGGGAGGGGGGGGGGGAGGGGAGGGGAGTGCCCGACGGATGGGGTTGGGAAGTATAAAAAACGATGAATGAGAAGGGAAGAAGGGCCTGTGACGCAGAGACGAGGCGTAGGACGGGTGTCAAGGCGAGAGGTGCAGCGGCATAGGATCGCGTGAGTAGATCTGAAGGAGAGTGCAGGTGTTGGGGGGTTTTAGCACCTGCCCACGTGGAAGCCTAGCGCAAGCGAGCAGTCTCCGGTATACGGGGATACATGGGGGTGTAAGGGGGTAGATGGCGGTGTACGGTTGTATACGGGAGGATGGCGACTGCAAGCACAGTGATAGCGGTGACTGAAGGGGTTTAGAAATTGAGCGCGGCTGAGAAGTTTGCACGTGACGATACAACGCGGGCTATATGATCCTTGCCTGTCTGCGGCGGCTAAAGGAGTTCAGGGTTTTAGGAGTTCGGGTTTCTCAAGCTGGCAGCTGGATCAGAAGCCCAAACCCGAAATGCCCTAAAAAACCCTCAAATTTCCCTCCGCTTCCCCACCCTCTCGGATCAGCTCCTCAACTCAACCGAATTTGTGCTGACACTGTTGGTGATGGGACTTTGTTCCCAAGGGTTTTTTCCTCATCCCTCTCCCCTTCCCCACTGTCACCAGTCAGGTTGAGAACACCATCGCCCCTCTGCTTCTCAACCCGTGCTATGCGGCTGCTACTGCTGACTGAAAGGGCTTGGCGTCTAACTTCTCCCTCCTCCCTCTCCCCTCTGCACTCTCGCCTTTCAGGTTGAGAATACAATCGCCCCTCTGCTTCTCAACCCGCGCTATGCGGCTGCTACTGCTGTGACCTTCCGCGGTGTGCTGCTGCCGCTGCTGCGAGGCGCCACCACGCGATGGCAGCAGGGGAGGAAGGGACAGGGGGGGGAGGAGAGGGAGACGAGGGAGCAGAGGGAAAAGAGGGAGGAGAAGGGGGAGGAGCAAGGGGGGCTGGAACAGGGGCAGCCAAGTGGCGGGCAGGAAGGGAGAGAGGGAGCATGGGAGGGTGCAGACGGGATGGAGTGGGAAGGGGAGGTGGGCGAGGGGGAACGCGTAGGAGAGGGAAGGCAGAGACAGCAGAAGCCACAGAAGGGGGGTAGGAGAGGCAGACAGGCAGAGGGGCAGGGGAGTGGGGAGGATGCGGAGGAAGGGAGAGGGCGAGGCGAGAGGGAGTTAGAAGAGTACGAGTCGGTGTGTGAGGCGCTCAGCGTTGTGTTAGCCATTGCCCCGCACAGCATCAACCACCTGAGGGCCTTCTTTGCCGCGCACCCGCCTCCCTTCCTCAGGCTCATGCTGCGTGGCTATAGCGAAGGGCGTGTCGCTGAGGTGAGTATTCTGTGGCGCTATTGGGTGCAACTTTACAAGCCCTGTTTGCCAAAAGAGGGTCATGCGTAGCTGAGGTTCAGTCCTTAACGTGGGTGAATGATGTGAATCTGTTACAAGTAGGAAGTCGATTTGTTTCCAGCATGGTCGGGCATGGGTGGGGGCGGGTTGTTGGTCAGGGGAGGAGGTTGCGGGATGGGGCAGGAGGAGGCGGGCGGGCGTTGAGCAGCAAGTGTGTAGGGCGCGTGGAAGGAAGGAGGTGTGGGAGGCAGCTGGTGCGATAGGCAGAGGGAGTTGTGGTGGATAGGGATCGCGAGCAGGGGGCGGGGGGGGGGGGGGGGTGAGAGGCGACAGTGGGCGGGTTGGCGTCTGTTTGGTCCATTGATGGCTCACGCTCCATTGAAGCGCTTACGCTCTGCGGTTGCAGCAGGTGTGCTGTGCTAAAGTTAAAGCTGGAGGCAACTTTTATGCTGCAGGCTTATCTTCTAGCATGCTGATGGTTGCTTGCGACTAATCCTATGGGGACAGGGAGACGGATACATGGAGAAACGGACAGAGGGAGGGGGGGAGAACACATAGGAAAGAGGACTTTGAGGAAGGGCTCGCACACACACTTTCGCGTCACCTCCACTCCACCCCCTTTCTCCCTTGCAGGATCCGTCCTCTCTGCTGCCCCCCCTCCGCACGTCCCTGCGCCTCCTCCTCTCGTCGCTGCCCACCTTCTCCTCCCTCTGGGACTGGTCTCCTGTCTTCCCCCTCCTCCTGCCCTTAGCCGGGCAGCGGGGAGACGACAGCAACGAGGAGCAGCAAGGGAAGGAGGGGGGGCGGGAGCAGCAGCGGGAGCAGTGGCAGGAGGTGCAGTGGGTGGCGCTGGAGATAGTGTGTCTGGCGCTGTCCTTTGACGAGGCCACTCGCACTCTCGTGGGCTCCTCCCTGTGCTCTCTGAACGCCACGCACCGCGCTCGACTGCAATTCCGGTAGGCCCACTAGGCTATGCATGGAGTCGTCGCAACGCAAGCTCACTGGGGGCTGTGTGTGCACCTTCTCTCAGGTCGTTGAATGGCAGAGGCAGGCTGCCATGAAATGGTTGGGCATCACATGGCCATTGCATGCTGCTACGGCATGCGGATTCCCTCTCGCCATGCTCTGTGCAAGGAAGCAGGCCGAATGCCACAGAGAATGAAATATACGCATCCCACGTGTCGTATACCTTCCTAGCCTCTGCGCTCCCCTTTACTTGCCTGTGTCGTAACCCAAATATACCCTCTCCTCTCTTCCCCCCACCCCTCTCCTTATTCCTTTATTTGCCTGCCCCAATTCCCTTCACCCAACAGCTGGCGTCAGATGGCGACAGACCTTGAGGCGGAACGAGCCCCCATGTTCCTGCTATCCCCGCTACGAGCAGCCTCGTTACAAGACACTGGTGGGAACACACCAGGCAGTGCTGCCAGCGATGCCTCTTCTTCCGACCTTTTGCTCCAAGACCCTCTGCTTACTCCCACGGATTCTGGGAGCGGGGCTGGTGGTGCGAGCGCTGCTGGTTCTTCGCTTGATGGGGGCGGGGCACGTGGGGGAGAAGGTGGAGTGAGTGGAGGAGAGGGAGCGGGAGTGTTGACGCCTAGCAGCACGTCACGGTTCAACACAGTTGCTGTGCTCGGGGTGGATCTGCCGCAGCGGCCTGTTGGCAGGTGAATCGCCAAACGCTTGTTTGTGACCCCCTCCCCCCCCCCTCCCCCACCCACCGTCTTCTTGTTAGATCCCCCCCTCGCCTCCCCCTTCTTCCGCCCTCCCTTCCCTCGTTTCTTCACTTCTCTCCCTCCATGTGGCTCTCTCACTCTCTCCCTCTCCCTCTCCCCATGTTCCTCCCCAACCTCCTCAGAACCGCCTCCTTCTCCCCCCTGGCCTCTCCTCTCCCAGTGCCCACTGCCACAGCGCTTCAGCAACGTGCATGCACCCTCTCCCTTCACCCCCCCCACCCTCCTGACTATCCACTCCCCCCCCCCCACAACCCATCCCTCTCTTTCCCCCCAGAACCGCCTCCTCTTCCCCCCTGGCATCGCCGCGCCTGGTGGCCACAGCCACGGCGCGCAGCAACCTGCATGCGCTGGTGCTCTCGCTTTGCCAGCACCAGCCGCTGCTGCTGGAGGGGCCCGTGGGCAGCGGCAAGACGGCTCTAGTGGACTTCCTCGCACACTGCACCCGGAATTATGGTGAGTGAGGAGGGGATGGTGGGTGGATGAGGCGATGGTGGGTGGAGGTTTGTGGTTGGTGGTTTATGGGTGGTGGTGGTTCCAGTGTTGGGGGTGGGGGAATGGAGGGGTTGTGGTCACTGTGCTGCTGGATGGGCTGGTGGGCAGTGGGAAGACAGCTCTAGTGGACTTCTTCGCTCACTGCCATCATGGTGGTTTGGAAGGTGGTTTGGATACATGTGCGGTTGTGCATGTTGCCGTCTCTTTCTGTCCTCTACTCCTCGTTTGCTTCCTCTTCTCCTTCCCCCCCCCACATCCACCGTCTCCCCTCCTCCTCCCGTCTCAGGCATGGTGCGTGCGGGTGCACATTGACGGTCAGATGGACGGCAAGACGAAGAGCAGGAGGATGAGGAAATGGCTTTTGAAGGAAGGGACAGCCGTGAAAGCCTTGACCGTTTTCCTCTTTCCCCCTTGTCCCCTCTCCTCCCAGACATGGTACGGGTGCACATGGACGATCAGATGGATGGCAAGACGCTGCTGGGCTCCTATGTGTGCACGGACGTGCCTGGGGAGTTCGAGTGGCGCCCAGGCGTGCTCACCCTCGTACGTTCGCCCCACACAGCCTTTTCTTCTCTCGTCTCCGTCCTCCCCAGCCCCCCTTATCCGTCCGTCGTCCCAACTTTCGGCCTCTCCGAACCTCTTTCTTACCATCCATTATTTTGGTTTGCCGAACCTCTTTGAAGTACCGACTCAGTAGGCCTCATTTGTCTTCCCTTCCATCTCCCTTTTATTGAAAAGAAGTCACAATAATCTCCTCCATTGACCTCCGTACCATTCCCCTGCCTGCCCCTCTCCCTCCATTTCTCCCTCGTTTTTGTCTGCCCCTCTTCCCCTCCTCCCTCGTCTCCCTCTCCCCCCCCCCCCCACAGGCAGCAGCGCGGGGCCTGTGGCCCACAAAATGTGACACGCCTGAAAGGCCAATTTTCCTGTGGGTGCAACTTGAGAACATATTAGGGCGCCCTTCGACCTTGCTACTTTGAGACGTCTAAAAAGCTTCTCTTCGTATCCTTTCCTCTTTCCCCCTCCCCCTCCCCCATCCCTCTCCCCTCCAACAGGCTGCAGCTCGGGGCCTGTGGGTGCTACTGGAGAACATCTCAGGGGCGCCGTTCGACCTGCTGTCCTCATTGCTGCCGCTGCTGCAGGACCGATGCCTGCACCTGCCCGGCCACTCGCAGGTACGATGCTGCTGGCTCTGGGCTGCTGAGCTGAGGCCGGTATGGCTGCTGCAGGACCGATGCCTGCACCTGCTGTGTGGTTAAGTGTGGGTCGCTTTCAGGTGGGCTTCTGCCAGCTTAGAGCTGCTAGGACCACTCCTTCACCTCGTGGTTCATTCACGGGCTCTGGGGAGGGGTGAGAGGGGAGGAAGCACCAAGTACTGGTACTCACGTGTCGTGTCACATGATGGGTGGGTGGTACTACTTGCAGTGCAGACCAGCGCCAGGACCAGGTTGCTTTGTTGTAACGAGCCCCAGATCACGCGTTGAAATGTTCGTTCTAACATTCCCCATGTGCCTGCCCTGCCCCCCTTCCACTCGTCCGTGGGTCTTCTCCCCCCTCCAGCCCCTGCAAGCAGCAGATGGGTTTCAGATCTTTGCCACCAAGGCCGTTGCAGCTTCCTCCTCTTCCTTCCGCTCCTCAGCAGCCTCTGGAGGTGAGTGATGCCGCCTGTTGGTAGTCAGGAGAGAGGAGAGAGGAGAGAGGAGAGAGGAGAGAGGAGAGAGGAGAGAGGAGAGAGGAGACGAGCTTCTGTTCCGTGCCATGCGAGCAGTTTTACATACTGTTTCCCTGTTTTGCTTTAGCCGTAGGTGTTCAAGGCAAGATACAGATGCTGCGTGCGGTTTCAACCCAACCTATGTAGTCCGGTGTCTCCCTGCTTTCTCTCCTTTCACTCCGGTTACCCCAACCCCTTCTACCCTCTCCTTCTTCCCTCCCCTCTCCCTCCCCCTTTCACCCCCCCACCTCTCAGTGGACTCTCTTTTGGCCTCCCACTTCCACACGGTGCACGTGCACCCTCCCCACGCCTCCGAGCTGCCCACCATTCTCACCTCCTCCTTCCCTGCCCTCTCCGCCCTCGTCCCCACGCTCCTTGGTACGTCCGCACCGCACTCTCATCCGCACACCCATCCTTCCCCCTTGCCCTTCATCCTCCCTCATCGTCCCATCTCATCTCAATCTGCCTTTCCCCCCCTCCCCCACTGCCTTAGGCCTCACTTCTCCTTCTTTGACCTTGACTTCCGCGGCCCTCTCTTTGCCCATGCATGTCGTGCGACGTGCCTGCTCCACTGCCTTCACCCTCTCTGCCCCCTTCCGTCTCTCCCTCCGTCCTTTTTCCTCCTCCCCACCGCCCTCAATTCTCACCTTGTGCACCCATCAGACCTGGTTCAAGCTGTGGGCAGAGTAGCATCCGGCCAGCCTCTTTCGTCCTCCCTCCTTCAACACCAGCAGCAGCAGCTCGCCACAGCTGTTTCTGAAGCTGCTGTGTCTGGGGGGCTATCTATCAGATACAGCCGGCATGTCTCCCTGAGGTGGGCAGGGCTGCTCTCAGGTGTTTTTTCAGGTTGATCTGGTATTTTCCAGATCGATAGGCCCATGCTCATGCTGTCAGCGTGTCAGCCTCGGATTGGCTTGTTGGACTTAGCTGCCATGTCATTGTTTCGTACACTGTGCTCAGGCCTTGGGGGCTTGTCTGTTGCAGCTTTGGTGCCTTGTTACTTTACTGCCCATGAGGTGCCTCAGAAGTGCGGCTGGCACTAACCGACACAATCCCATCCGCCCCACTTCTTCCTTCCACCCTCCCCATATCAGAGACACCATGAAGATCGCTTTGCGTCTGCACTCGCTGCCGCTCCCCGCCTCGCTCCCCTCTCACCCCGCCCCCACCATGACCCTCCCTCATGCTGTGCGCGAGCGCATCTTCTTTGAGGTCAGCGCTCTCTCAGCTTCATCACTTCCCCAGCACGCTTATACGCCCTGTTGTTCGACCGTGTCGGTGCTTGTTGTGCAGTGCAGTTGCATGTGTTTAGACGTGTAGGTGCAGGCAAGGCACAGGTACGGGTGGGTTCATGGAGCCTGTGTTCACATCTCGAATCTGCTTCACTGCCATGTTACTAGCAAATTGTCAAGACCTGTGCACGTCCCTTTGGTCAATCTCCCCGCCCTTCCCTTCTCCAGGTGGTTTACTGCCTGGTGGCCTGTGTGCCGTCCCCTGACCACCGTGTGGCTTGCATGGCACATCTTGCCCTGCACTGCGCCCAGTAAAACGCTCTCCCCGCGTCTCCTTTGCACCCAACCCCCCTTCCTCAGGTAGTGGACTGCCTGGTGGCCTGTGTGCCAAGCCCGGAGCACAGTGTGGCTCTCATGGGACACCTGGCTCTGCTCTGTGGCCTCCCCACTGAATACTCTCTCACCTCCCCCCATCCCTCACCTCACCCCCTCTCTCCAGGTGGTGGACTGCCTGGTGGCCTGTGTGCCAAGTCCAGAGCACCGTGTGGCGCTGATGGCGCATCTAGCTCTGCTCTGCGGCCTGCCCAGTGACTATGCGCTGCAGCTGCATTCGCTGTACCAGCCACCCGTGCATGTATGAGTCACATCACATGATTCCGGTATCGTCATGTATGCCTGCCATACTGATGCAGTCTATGTATGTATGGTTGAGGTTTGGGCATGAATGAACACCAGTATATGTGTGGTTTACATGGAACCAGTCATGTGTCTGTTGAGAAAACAGCACAGCCATACCGCCATGCTGCCATGTTGCAATGCTTCTACCCCCTGCTTTTCCCTTCTCCTCAGGTCACTTCTCTGGAGCTTCGTGTGGGCAGGGCTGTCATTCCTCTGCGCTTGCAGCAGGTAGGGAAAAGGAACGTTGATTTTCAACTCTTGAGGGGACTGAATTCATGCAATCTCATGGCTCATGAGTACCTTGTGCAGTTCCTTGCAGCCTTTTCTACCTTGGCGATTATCCAGTGTAATGGCTTCTTCCTCCCTCTGCTCTCACTCATTCCCCTCCCTTCTCTCACATCCTCTCCCCTTCCTCTCATTCTTGCCTCTCCCCTTCCCCCCCTCCCAGTCCCATGAGAGCAGGGAGGGCGGCGGCATGGCGTTTGCAGCGACGGGGGCGGTGCTGCGGCTGATGGAGCGGGTAGCGGTGTGCGTGGGGCAGAGGGAGCCGGTGCTGCTGGTGGGGGAGACGGGCACGGGGAAGACCACCACGGTGCAGCACCTGGCGCGCATGGCAGGCAGAGGCATCACTGTCATTGTGAGATGGCTGCTGCTGCTCTTTCAGGCACAAATTAGATATTCCCAGCCCTAACACACCTGTTTTTGCATGTTGTGTTTGGTTGTAGTCGACATGGGGAAAACCACGATGGTGCAGCACTAGACATGGGCAAAATGCGATTGCCATTTAAATCGGATCGCATTGGGGGGCGATTTCATCAAATGCGATGCAATTTAAAATTGCATCGCGCGATTTAATTTCTGGAAAAAATTAATCTCACATCGCGTTCTGCGTGCGATGATTATTAAAACCACATGCGGTATTTGATTAATTCACGCGATGGGATTTTAAATCGCATCGCGTTCTAAAACAGAATGAAAAAACATCCCAAAAAACCAAAAAAAAAACCATGGCTGCCAGGAAATTGAATCAGGGGCAGTCGTAAGCTAGAGTGCAAACAAAATTGTGTGGTTTCGTAGTGGGTTTCAGTGCGACATCATGCGCGATTTTAAAACGCATATCCTGTTTAAAACTCGATTTAAATTAAATCGCGCGATAAACAATTCATTGCATCGCGCGATGATAAAAAAAAAAAAAAACGCAATTGCAAAAACGCGATTAAATGCGATGCGATTTTTTCTGCCCATGTCTATGCAGCACCTGGCGTGCATGACAGGCAGCGGCATCACCGTCATTTTGAGATGCTGCTGCTGCTCTTTCGAAGGGGCTGAATCATCATAATGTGCTGAATGAACCTGTTGCACTTACCGCCCGAATTTGGTTGTGGTGGGCATTTTGCTCAGACCTTGTGCATGAGTTGTTTGCCCGCCCGTGTTGCCCTCCCTCCCTGATCATCCTCTTTCCCTCCACCCATCTGTTCAGTTTCCTTCCTTGTTGGCCTCTCTCTGATTCTCGCCTTGGTTGTCCCCTGCAATCACTGCCCCATGTGCGTGCCTTCCATCTCACATGCCTCCTTTTGCTGTCCTTCCACCCTGTGTGTGTGTGTGTGTGTGTGTGTGTGTGTGTTTCCGCTACATCAGAACATGAGTCAGCACAGTGACAGTGCGGACTTCCTGGGCGGCTTCAAGCCAGTGGAGCAGCGGGTGGTGTGCCTCGCCCTCTACCACTCCTTCACCTCGCTCTTCTCCAACACCTTCCCCTCCCAGGTGCGTGCCGTGCCGTGCCACTGCTACGCAATGCACGCACCCCCCCTTGCCTCCTCACCCTTTCCTGCGTTCTTCCCTGCTCTTTAAGAGCCTTGCTTTCTAGCTGTGTGCCTCGTATCCTTCGAGAATTCTAAAAAACAGAACACATCCTGCTAATTTCCATCCTTCCTTCCCAGTACAAGCTCATCCCCTTCCAGTAAATAGCCCTACCATTAGATCCTCTTTATTCATCCCTCAACCGTCCGCCTCGTTTCCCTCCCTGCCTGCTCCTTCCTGCTCTTCTAGCTTCTGCTGCCGGCCCGTATTCCTCCAGCACCCTCCCTCCCCCCTCCCTCCTCCTCCCCCCTCCCCCTTCCCTTCCGTTATCCACGCCGCTAGGTCTTGCACTCACCCTACCTACCTGCCTGTATTCACCTTCCTAGACCTCTCCCCTCCCACTTCCCCACCCCCCCCAACCTTCCCTGCCTGCAGCGCAATGCGGAGTTCCTGCTGCGGCTGAGTCGCCTGGCAGCTAAGTCCAAGTGGCCCCTGCTGCTCTCGGCCTTCCGCTCCACTGCACTCAAGGTCGCGCACCTGCTCGCACTCCCGCCATCCCCTGCTGCTGCCACGGATGCTCATGCCAGTGCTCAGACTGCTGGTGCTGCTGGCGCTACTGGTTCTGCTGGTTCTGCTGGTGCTGGTGGTGGTACTGCTGCTGGCACAGCTGGTGCGGCTGATAGTGCTGATGGTGGCACTGCTGGTGCTGGCAGTAGTTTGGAGTCAGCAAAGCCCGAGCGCAGTGCCAAGAGGACCAAGAGGCTGGACAGTGAGGTGTGTGTTAACTGGGGAGGGAATGCCAGGGAAGCAGCTGGGGGGGGCTGTCTGTCGGGAGACGGGAGGATAGCGGGAACTTCCTTCCACTCCATCTGTTTTTTCGCTCCCATCCTTTCGCCCCAGCAGTCTTCACATGCTGTGCATCAAATCAAAGTCATACACGTTGTATAACCCGTCCGATCCCACGTCTTCCCCACTCGCCCCCGTTTCCTCCCCCAGCTGGCTCGGGCGTGGGCACATTTCTCCACGGATCTCGCCCGTGCGGAGCGGCAGGTGGCGGCAGCGGAGGCATCCTTCGCGTTCATGTTTGTGGAGGGGGCGCTCGTGAAGGCCTTGCGCGAGGGACAGTGGCTGCTCATGGACGAGATCAACCTCGCGCCGCCCGAGACCCTGGAGCGCCTCAGCGGCGTGCTGGAGGGGGACGCGGGGTCGCTGGCCATCACAGAGCGAGGGGACATTGAGGCGGTATGCTATAGAGTTCTTGCTTGCTTTTTGCTTGTGCTATTGTGTGTATATGAACACGTGGAGCGTCTCAGCGGCGTGCTGGGGGATGCGGGGTCGCTGGCCATCACAGAGAGAGGGGACATAAAGGCAGTGAGCTGTAGTTCTTGCGCTTGCTTCTGTCGTGCATTCCAGGGTTCGTTATGTCGAGTCTTGAGCGCTGCAGCGGTGTGCTGGACCTGGAGGGAGAGGCGGGGTTGCTGGGGATCACAGAGAGAGGCAACATCGAAGCGTTATGTTGTAGCCTTTGATTTGTTTCGTCTTCCGCGTTTGCATGTAGGCTTGAGCATCTACCCGACCCGACCCGACTTTTGCCTAACCCGAGGTCGGGTTCGGGTCGGGTCGGATCGGCCTTTGCATTTGGGTGACCCGACCTGGTTAATACAGGTCAGGTACTACCTGACCCAGTTTCGGGTCGGGTCGGGTCGGTTTGGCATAAGGGCAGGGACGGGAAATAAGCTGACTCGAGGGGCTGGGTTATGTCGGGTCGGGTCGGATCGGGTCGGGTACCCCAAGGGTCGGGTCGACCCTCCGCAAATGTCGGTCCGACCCGTTGCTCAAGCCTACTCAGGGCCTGCCCCTTTGGGGCTTGCTCGTGGCGATATGTGTGGGTTGATATTTGAGGGCCTGCTGTGCTCTGTTTCGGGAGCCTGTGAGTTTGAGGCCCTATGTGGCGTATGTGGGGCTGGGGGTTCTCACTCGTGTCTGTTCTCCCTTCCAACCTGCTCTTCCCACTTGCCCCTGCGCCCCTCTGAACCCCTCCGAACCCCTTCGATCCCTTTCTCTCGCAGGTCCCCCGGCACGCGGACTTCCGTCTGTTTGCAGCCATGAACCCGGCCACGGACGTGGGCAAGAGGGACCTGCCGCCCGCCATCCGCTCGCGCTTCACCGAGCTCTTCGTGGACGAGATCACCAGCCGGCAGGAGCTGGGCAGCATCGTCTTCAAGGTGGGGGGTGGTGTAGTGCGGTGACGAGGGGTAGGAAGGGATGGTATGAGTTGTGCTAGAGTGTTTGTACTGCCAAGTGGGAGCTGTTCGTGGACAAGATCACCGGCCGGCAGGAGCTGGGCAGCATCGTTTTCAAGGTTGGGGGGAGGGGGGAGAGTAGTGCGGTGACAAGGGGTGGACCACACAGAGCGGTGTGGGTAATTGAGATGGGTTGGAAACTTGGGAGTATAGGATGAACGTTTCAGCTGTCAGTTGTCTGCTGTTTGTGGACGAGATCACGAGCAGGTAGGAGCTTGGGAGCATTGTCTTCAATGCGTGAGGTGGAGCGGGATGAGTTGGTTGTTGAGGGCAGATGGTATTGCATGAAGTTGGTGGGTCTAGAAATGCGTTCACTGTCCATTGCTAGCTATTTTTCCTCCTGTTACCCAGCTATCTTGTCTCACCCTCCTCCAACCACACCACCCTCTTCCCCCCTCCGCATATCTCCCCACCCCCCTCCCTCTCCCCCCCCAATCACCCCTGCAGTATCTGGAGGGCCTGCTGCCGTCCCCCCCTGTGGACGATATTGTTGACTTCTACCTGGCCGCCAGACAGGAGGCCGAGGTACGCAGGCTCTGCATCGCAGAGAGAGGGAGAGGGAGTGTGAGCTATGCATACAGGGAGAGAGAGAGGGAGGGGCATGTTCACGCTATAGGAGGCAAGAGGTGGACCTTCTAAGTGAGCCGAGGAGCTAAAAGCATGCCGTGGTTGGCGCAGCTTTGGAAGTGCGTGTCTTGCTGCTGACAGCCCCCATTCCTCTCCTTGTCTTCCCAAAGCACACTATAATCCTCGTGTGTCTCATGCGTCTCTCTTTGACGGTGCAAGTCAGCGGCCGCCGTACACTCTCTGCACAACAGCACAAGAGCACTGGAGTACACGCATGTGGCTGTTGACCCACTCCTCCTGCTTCTCTCTCCCTTGACTTGCCATCCAACATCCCACATTCCACACCGCACCGCACCAACCTCTGCCTCCCAGGTGTCTCTCTTTGACGGTGCAAACCAGCGCCCCCAGTACACGCTGCGCACGCTGGCACGCGCGCTGGAGTACGTGCGGGTGGCTCTGCCGCTCTACGGCTTCCACCGCTCGCTCTACGATGGGACTGCCATGTGCTTCCTCACGCTGCTCGATGTGAGTGAGGCTGGAGGGGATGGGGTGGAACAAAGGGTTAGAGGGGATAGTAGAACGGAACGGAGGAGTAAGAGAGCTACAGGCACATGGTGCAGATGGCTCTGCCGCTCTGCAGCTTCCGCACTCGCTCTGTGAAAGCACTGCAATGTGCTTCCTCAGGCTGCTGGATGTGAGCCTTAACGGATGGATGGTCCTGGTGGCTTTGAGACGTCTTGAAGCGAGATGGGATGGGCATGGTGGCCTAGCTGGATGTGAACTGTGGAGGGTTGACATGGCAAGAGAAGCTTGGCCTCTCTGTTTGAACTTCCTCTAGAGGTGAATTGAGGCTTAAAAACCGATGTTAGCGGCACAAGCATGAATCCAGCTGACTGCCTAGTTCCTAAGCCCCTGCTTTCCCCCTTTCCCCCCCCCTTCACCCTCCCACACCTTCCCCCTTCCCCCCCTCCCCCCAGCGCTCCTGCGCGCCCACCATGGAGACCCTAATCCAGCGCCACCTCCTCAAGTCGGCGCCGCCAGTAAAAGTCTTACTTAGAGCGCCGCCCAGACCTGGCGGGAAGTACGAGCTGTTTGAGCAGTTTTGGGTGGAGAGAGGGCCGGAGAAAAGGGGGGAGGAGGACGAGGAGGGAGGGGAGAGTGAGGGGAGGGCGAGTGGCAGTGGAGGGAAGAAGGGTGAGAATTTGAACGGTGTTGGCAGCGCTAGTGGTGCTGGTGCCAGTGGTGCTGGTGGTGGGGTAGGTGCAGGGGGGATGGAGGCGGAGGATGGGGAGGCAGCGGTGGCAGGGAGGGTGAGGGCGGAGGAGTTTGTGTCGACACCGAGTGTGAGGGGGCACCTGAAAAACCTGGCGCGTGCGGTGCTGGTCCGCAAGTACCCCATCCTGCTGCAGGTGAGCCATGCATGGGCATCCTTGGGTCTGCATGGGTGTGCATGGTTGTGCATGGGTGTGCATGGGTGTGCATGGGTGTGCATGGATGTGCATGAATGTGCATGCATGGGTGTGCATGGGTGTGCATGGGTGTGCTCTGCTGTCTGTTCCTTGCTGTGTGCATGTTGTATCATTCTCCGGGCACCTCTTATCTCGCAACCTGCTTCTCAGTCTGTCGTTCCAGTATCGTTTTTTGTACGTTCAAAACTTCTTGCTCCTGCCTCGTTCGCTGTCACGCGCCTTCCGCTCTCTGCTCTCCTAATCCTCCCATTTCCCCTTCCTGGTTCGGTCCTCCTCCCACCCGCCAGGGCCCCACATCCAGCGGCAAGACCAGCCTGGTGGAGTACTTAGCTAAGCGCACGGGGCATCGCTTTGTGCGCATCAGCAACCACGAGCACACAGACCTGCAGGTGGGTGTGATAACGATTGAGTGAGGTGGTGATGGGAAGAATAAGAAAGCCCAGTGACAAAGGTTGCACCTGGGTGCGTGTGCAGTGCACACTGTGCTGTGCACGTGTGCATTTTGTTCCTTCAACGTGCACTATATGAGAAGCAGTCCGGTAGTTTTGTAGCATTTTATTATTTGTATGTTAAAGCAATTGGCATACTTCATTCAGTCAATAGGTTGTACTCATCTTGTCCGCGCCTCTCATACCTATCCTCCCCTTTCTCCCTTATCCTCCCCTCCACCCTCCTGTCTTCCCCCTCCCCTTCCCCCCCCTCTCCTCACAGGAGTACCTAGGCACATACATTACAGACAAGTCAGGCCGGCTCAAGTTCCAGGTACGTTCATGGCACAGCAAGGGTAATGGATGACGATGCCTGCCTCGGAACAGTAATATTCATGGCATGGCGAGGTAGCCAGCTCCTTTGCATCGCCGCTGCTCCTGGCAGGCTGGCACCATCAGTCCACATGTGTTCACACGCTCTGTGCATGGAGCCACGCTCTGTGCATGGAGCCACGCTCTGTGCATGGAGCCTGCTTGCCGACTGACCTATTGTGCCGGTTCTGTTGGCTTTCACAGTCATCACGCTTTGCAACACCTCTATCCCTTCATTATCTGCTCCTGCTGTCTCGCCACTGCACCTCGCCACTGCTCTTCTTTCCCAGGCTCAAACACAGCTTCCTCGCGACCCCACCCCTGCCCCTCTGCGTTTCCATCTCTCCGTTTCCATCTCTCCGTTTCCATCTCTCCATTTCCATCTCTGCGTTTCCATCTCTCCGTTTCCATCTCTCCGTTTCCATCTCTGCGTTTCCATCTCTCCGTTTCCATCTCTCCGTTTCCATCTCTCCGTTTCCTCTTACCTTCACGTCTGCAGGAAGGCCCGTTGGTGCAGGCCGTGAGGAGGGGCCACTGGATAGTCCTCGATGAGCTCAACCTGGTGGGTCACATTGTGGCTTGATGCTCTATGCCATAGATTCTATGATACGTGTTGCATGGTACACACTGACTGAGGTAGATTTTTGCCTCCTGCAGTAACTGCACCCGTGCGGACCCCTGCACCGTCCCTGCTTCTCCCTGTATCTAGACATGATCAAAATGCGATTGCGATTTAAATCGCATCGCACAGGGGCGCGATAAAAAAAAAAAAGCGATGCGATTTAATATCGCTTCCGCGATTTTTTTTTTGAAAAAAAAAAAGCGCACATCGCATTTTCTGCGCGATGGTTATCTAAACTGCATGCGATGTTTATTTAAATCGCGCGATGCGATTTTAAATCGCATCGCATTTTACTTAAATAAAAAAACACCTCAGAATTCCGGAAAAAGACAACACCGATGGAATTTCGACCACAGGCAGATCGCGCGCGATTTTTTTAAAAATCGCAAATCGCAATTTAATCGTGCTTTTCAGCGCGATTAAAACACGATTTAAATTAAATCGTGCGATAATAAAATCATCGCATCGCACTATTTATTAAAAAAATAATGTAATCGCCATCGCAAAAACGCGATTAAACGCGATGCTATGCGATGCGATGCGATTTAATCTGCCTATGTTTACCTGTACCTGCTTCAAACTCCCTTCCCTTCCTCCTCCCTACCCCACCCCCCCACCCCCCCCCCCCCCCCCCCCCCTCTCACCCCAGGCACCATCGGACGTGTTGGAGGCGCTCAATCGTCTGCTGGATGACAACAGGCAGCTCTTTGTGCCCGAGCTACAGGTGAGGGCAGTGTCTAGCGGCAGCGCTTGTGAGGTGTAAGTGGGGGAGACGTTAATTGCGGAACTTGTGAGGTGCCGCCCTACCTTCAGCCATTTCGCCATTACATGTGAGAGCAGTTGGCACCCTACTACGGCGGCGTACCCACGTACTAGCTTTTACCCACGGCGGCGGCATCTTTCTGCCTGACTCGCTGCACTGAGTTGAGTTGGTCCTTGAGAATTTTCAAGAACCAATTTTTGCATTGCATTGCATCTATGTGTATCCTTCTTCCTGACTCGCAGCATCTTCTCCGCACCTCCCTGTTTTGCTCACCTCTGTGTTTTGCTCACCTCCCCATTTTGTTCCGCACCTCATCCCTTGTGTGCCTGCAGGAGACAGTATCTCCCCATCCCCACTTCATGCTCTTTGCCACCCAGAACCCACCAGGCCTCTACGGTGGGAGAAAGGTATGGTTAGGGCAAGAGTATGGGCTAGGAGGGATGGGCTTTAAGTTTGGTACAGAGACAGAGCTAGGTCTGGCCGTGAATTTGCGCCTAGTTTTCTTAAGCATCCTTTCACACCAAGAACTTGCCACCGGAAATTTAGGGGCAACCCCAACTTGTTTCCACACCCCATACCCTCATCCTTTCTTCCTCCCCACTCCGATCATTTCGCCCGTCTATCCCCTCTGCCATTCTTCCTTCCCCTCCATAATTCTGCCAACAATTCCCTCCCCCCTCCTCCTCCCCCTTCACCCCTCCCTCCATCCATCCATCCCCTCAGGTGCTGTCTCGTGCGTTCCGCAATCGCTTCCTGGAGCTGCATGTGGACGACATTCCACACACCGAGCTGGCGCTCATTGTAGAGAGGCGCTGCCTCATCCCTGCCAGGTACCTACCACACACATACGTACATGCAGTCTCAGGTGCGCATGCCCTGTCACGTGTGTATGGCACCAAGTATGTGGTTTCCACCCGATCAGAAAGGGGGAGGAGGAGGAGGAGGTGACGAGGGACGTGCAGGGCCACCGGCGGCAGGCAATCATGTGTTCTATGCCTTCCCTCCTTCAGGTCCTCAAGTTCATCAACACCCTCCTCCGCCCTCATTCCAGTCCACCCTCTTGCTCACCTCCGCAGCGCAGCTATGCAGCCAAGATGGTAGAGGTGATGTGATGAAGGACATGCAGGGCCACATAGAATCGTCAAAGCATTCATTCTCGTACTTCCTCGTTCTGTCTGACCCCTTACTCTTTCTCCCTTACCGTCCCAGCTACGCAGCCAAGATGGTGGAGGTGATGAAGGACCTGCAGCGGCACCGGCAGTCGTCAGCCGTGTTCGCTGGCAAGCACGGGTTCATCACACCGCGTGACCTCTTCCGATGGGCCAACCGCCACGCGCATGTCCGTGCTTGCAGTATGGGGGGGGAAAGGGGGGGGTGGGGGCTGCTGATAGTAGTGTGGAGAAGGGAGTTTTGATTGAAACGGTTTTTGGGTGGTGCTGATATGCCATGGATCTAGATTTGAAGGTGTTAGGAGGTTTTGGGTCGGCTCAGGTGTTGGAGGACAAGTAGGGGGGAGTTTTTCACAGTTGTCTCCTGCTCCCTTCATGTTTTGCTGCAGGGCTACGAGGAGCTGGCGCGCGACGGGTTCTACCTGCTTGGGGAGAGGCTGAGGGAGGAGCCGGAGAAGGAGCTGGTGATGCAGACGCTGAGGAAGCGACTCAAGGCCCACATTGACAGCAGCACGCTGCACCAGGTGGGGGCGGGGATGGTCTGTCTGGGTGGGGGGAGGCGGGGGGTTGTGGGTGTGTGTACACAGCCGGAGAAGGAGCCGACGAGCACACGCTGAGGAAGCATGTGCTTACCGAGGCCGACATCCACAGCAGCACGCCACACCAGGACCAGGTGTGTGTGTGCGTGGGTGGGGGGGTTGTGGGTGTGGGTGTGTGTGGGGGTGCGTGGGGGTGCGTGGGTGTGTTTGTGTGTGTGTGTGCATGCGCACGTGCACGCTTGGGGAGAAGGGAGGGGAGGTTGGGAAAGACCAGCTGCTTCAGTTTAACTGGTCAATTTTCATGTGACCCGCAACACTACCCCATCACGAATCAGGAGGCAGCATGTGCTTACCCCTTCTTCCTCACACACATCCCTACGCATACTCTAACCCCCTTTCGCCCCCTCTTCCCCCATCATTCCAGGTCGACCCATCCCTGCAACAGCAGCTAGCGCGCATGCTGTCTGACGCGCACAGGGGATACGCTGTCGATTCGTCCTCCTCCCCTCCCACGCACACCCCTCTGGACCCACACATTGAGGCCCTCGCATCTCTAGGGGGCAGGTGAGCCCTTGCTTCTGTTGCTCATTTGGTAGGCATGGGATGTGGGCATGGCATGTGGGCGTGGCATGTAGGCATGGGATGTGTGCATGCATGGGATGTGGGCATGGGATGTGGGCATGGCATGTGGGCATGGCATGTGGGCATGGGATGTGGGCATGGGATGTGGGCATGGGATGTGGGCATGGGATGTGGGCATGGCATGTGGGCATAGCATGTGGGCGTGGCATGTGGGCATGGCATGTGGGCATGGCATGTAGGCATGGCATGTGTGCGCATGGCATGTGTGGGCAGGGCATGTGGGCAGAGCCGCTCAGGCTTTCTAAGCCACGTTCCGTGCGTTGAAGTTACCTCGAAGGAAAAATTGGCTGGACAGGCTGACACAATTTCTCCATTTCTCCGTTCTGCCGCTCCCTAAAGCAATTTCCATTTCCGTAACTACGTCCCATCCCATCCTTCTCCTCGTCCCCCCCCCCCTCCCCACTCTCTTCCTCTCCGCAACACCCCCCACCTTCTACATTTTTCCATCCCCAGTGTGGTGTGGACCCGCGCCATGACGCGGCTCTTCAACCTGGTGCTGCGCTGCCTGCGCCACGGGGAGCCGGTTCTGCTGGTGGGGGAGACGGGTGGCGGCAAGACCACGGTGGGGCAGCTGGCAGCAGCGGCGTGCGGGCAGACGCTGAGGATCATCAACTGCCACCAGCACTCCGACGCCTCCGACTTCATTGGGGTGCGTTGTTGTCCTGAGGGAGGCGTCTCAAATTGGCGAGTCGTCTCGAGATGCCAAGTCGTCTCGAAACGCCCGAGTTGTGTCAAAATTGGGAAGTCTCAATAATAGGCAGATGCTGAGGAGGATCAACTGCCACCAGAACTCCGACGCTGCTGACTTCATAGGATGCACATTCCACTCCACTGTTTCCTTCAGGTGCCGGTTTGTTTCTTTACCCCTTCTTTTTTCGTTCTACCCTGCCTGTGACCTTAATGCTTTCCGCTTGTAGTATCTTTCTTGCTCGCGCATTGCCCCTAATGCTCTCGACTTGCTCTACCCTCTCCCTTCAAATCCCCGCACTCTCCGTCTCTTCCTTGCTATCAGGGTTACCGCCCCACGAGGGACAGGGAGCCTCTGCAGCAGCAGTACGCAGCAGCTATTGGGAAGATCCAGAACCTCCTCTCTGCCCTGTCCGCTGGAGAGGCAGATCCAGTGGAGCCTAAAGAAGGAGAAGCAGGAGCAACAGAAACAGCAGCAGTAGAGGTAGAAGCAGTAGAAACAGCAGGAGCAGCAGAGGCAACAGACAAGGCTGTGCATGGAGAATCAGGGAGTGAGAGATTGGAGAGAGCTAAGACAGGGCTCTTGGACGGGCTTGAGGAGGTGTCAGAGGAGATCGAGCAAGAGCCAAAAACTGCAGCCTCAATCCGCACGGTCGTATCCAGACTCAAGGCTAAGAAGCAGGCTGCAACTGAGGCAGGCGCAGCTGCTGCGGAAAAGGCAACAGAAGAGGCCACGGCTGCTGCAGCAGCTGCATTGGCAGCAGAAGCGGAAGCAGGAGGAAGGGTATCCGCCAAGAAGCAGCGAAAGAAGGCTGTGAAGAAAGCAGCAGAGGCCGAGGCAGCAGCGATCGCAAAAGCAGCGGCGGCAGCAGGTGCTGAAGCCACGGTAGCGGCAGGATGGGGCGAAGAAATGCAGCAAAGATTGGAGGAGCTAGAAGCGCTACTGAGTGAGGTGGAGGAGGTGGGGGGGCACTGGAGGGCGCTGTTCGAGTGGGTGGACGGCCCTCTGGTGCGCGCCATGCGGTGCGGCGATGCGGTGATGCTGGATGAGATCTCGCTGGCCGATGACAGCGTGCTGGAGAGACTCAATAGCGTGCTCGAGACCAAGAGGACGCTGGTGAGAGAACGGGGGAGGGCAGGGGAAGGCGGATGGGGACAGGGTTATTTAGAGGATTGTTTGATCTCTTCGATAGTGGAATTCGGGCGAGGCATGAGAGAAATGAAAGTCTGGCAAAATGATTTTGAAAAGTCTACGAGTGCTACAGTCACGTCTTCTTCTTTTTCGCTGTTGGCCATCCTTTTCCATTCAACTTAAAAGGCTGCCTGGTGTAAGACCTTCCAAATTCATGAGCTGCTATCTAATCACACGCCTCATTCTCCTATCTCCTTTTCTCTCGCTCCCCAGGTGTTGGCAGAGAAGGGAGGGCCAGAGGCGGAGCACATAGTGGCGCACCCTGACTTCCGCCTGATTGCAACCATGAACCCGGGCGGCGACTACGGCAAGAAGGAGCTGTCCCCCGCACTGCGTAATCGGTTCACGGAGGTGTGGGTCCCGGCCAACAAGGACATTGACGACCTCACTGCCATTGTTGCGGATCGGTAAGCTCTCTGGTGGTTTGGCTGGGTGGCTGGCTTGGTGGCTGGCTTGGTGGCTGGCTTGGGTGGTGATGAGCTGTATGTGGGATGCGCACTGCAGTGTGTTCTTTCCAATATGCGGTCGCCTGGGATTGTGCGTTGTGATTGTTGCTGTGTGCTCGATGCACCTCTCACTTCCCCTTTGAAGCAACCTTTTTCGACTCAACATTGCCCTGTGTTGGCCCTGTTGTGTTTCTGTGCCCTCAACACTCCTTTGTGCATGCAGGTTCGCATCTCCCTACCTGGCTGATCTCGCAGCTCCCATGCTCAAGTTCTGGCAGGTAAGGGCGTAAGGCTCTCTCTCACTGCGCTCATTTTAGCAGTACGTACTTCTTTTTTGCTTACTATGTGCATGGCCGTGCCATCTCATCCAGCCAGCTGTTGGTTGCAATGAGCTCAGGCACACGTCACTCATGCCTTCTGTATATTCGGCCAGAGAGTACTCTCCTTCTCTTCTCTTCCCCATTCATGTCTCCGTTCTTTGCTCTCCTAATGCTTGCGTGCTTCCGCCATCCCCAGTGGTTTGAGGCAGAGGGCGATGCAGGCACTGTCCTATCTGTGCGAGACCTTCTCTCCTGGGCGGCCTTTGTCAACGCCACTGCCCATCTCGCTCCTCAGCAGCAGCAGCAGCCAGAGGAGCCACAAGTCCAGTCAGAGCAGGGGGAGCAGACTCAACAGAAACAGGATGAGCTGGATGAGGGGAAACCCGCAGCTGGCAGTGAGAACAAGGTTGCAGCCGGGGATGGGGTGCGCATAGACAAGTGGACGTCCTTCCTCCACGGGGCGTTCCTGGTGTTCCTGGACGGGGTGGGCATCGGCCAGGGCCTGCCAGAGGACGTGGCTCAGGCCGTGCGCGCCCGCAGCTTCAACCTCCTACTGCAGCTGCTGCCGCCGGTAGGTGTCTACAGGTCTTCTGGTCACTAGCGCCTCTGAATGTCTTTCGGTAAAAAAACAGCATCGTTTGGACCTCCCTTGATAGAGGTGTCAAGGACTTTTGGTTATCACAGGGAGGTCCACCATCTTCGTGTGAGTCGACTGAATGTTTGAGCATTTCTCCTCCCCCCTCTCTGTCTGCAGGAGGCCAAGGCAGCAGGCATGCAAGTGGGCGTTCAGAGCAAGCTAATACCAGAACCAACCACTTCAGACCCCTCTGCTCCATCCTCGCGCCCTCCTCCAAAGCTGCATGCGTCAGACATGCAACGAGTCTTTGGCTTCCACCCCTTTTACATCCCACGAGGTAATGCGATGTTCCTGTCGCAGCTTGTACTGAGTGCCTCCTCCTGATCCATCCATCCGTCCGTCCGTCCGTCCATGATTGTGTGCATCCAAACTATGTGGGGCCTCTTCTTCTTGCGTTGGTGCCTGTGCCGCGTACAGACCCTCGACTGTGGCTCTTGCTCCGACTTTCGCGGCGATTAACTCTCCATGCCTGTCTTAATCACGGTTGTGTTTTGTTCTTCTCCAAAGCTGTTCCCCCCTCCCCCCCCCCCTCCCCGCCCCCTTCCCTCCCTGTATCTCTCCAGGGCCCCGTGCCACGGACACATCGGTTCCGTTTGAGCTGACAGCGCCCACCACCAACGCCAATGTTGTTCGCCTGCTCCGAGCCATGCAGATCCGCAAGCCAGGTGCGCTGCCTTGAATATATGAGGGATGCATTTCTGGTGGGGCTCAAAACTGGACTGCTCCGGGCCATGCATGCAGGCCTGCCAACAAGCCAGGGGCATTGCATTGCAGTGGAGTGCATTGTTTGGATGCCCATCAGCACAAGCTAGGCACGCTTCCATGTGTTTGCGTGTGCATGGAAAGCTCTCGTGTCTCCCTGGTTGTGCGCGTTCAGATGTCTGCGTGTCTGCACACCCATTGCATGGCATCTCAGCGTCTCCAAGGCACTGGCGCTTCAGCAGCCTTTGACCCAGTCAACCACCTCACGTCACGTGTAATGCAAATCCTTTTCCAGCTTTCTCTCCCCTCCATCTCCCTCCCCCCATTCTCAATCGTCTACAGTCCTGCTGGAGGGCAGTCAAGGGGTGGGGAAGACCACTCTGGTGGCAGCACAGCACTGGCAGCAGCAGCGCATTCTGTTTTTTTTCCAGCAGAGCAGAATGTGCAGTGCGTATCCATTGATCCAATCCAACTCCCACCTTCAATGCCCCTCTCTTCCCCCTCCCCCCCCCCTTACAACTCCCTGCAGTCCTGTTGGAGGGCAGTCCAGGAGTGGGGAAGACCAGTCTGGTGGCAGCGCTGGCAGCAGCAGCAGGGCACCGCCTCGTGCGAATCAACCTGTCGGAGCAGGTAGGGTGACAGGGAAGGCAGGCAGGTATGAGAGATAGAGAGAGAAGGGTTGTTTGTAGAGGCTTGGTTGTTTCTTGTGTGAGAGAGCGTGTCTGCACGTTTGAGCATTGAAGCATGCCACGATATTTGCTCCTTCCCTTCCGTTGTCGCTTCCTCCGTCCATCTGTCCCGCTTACCCTGCTATCGCTCTCCCTCTCCCCCTCCCCCCCAACCCCCCCCTGCCCGATCCCACAGACGGACATGATGGATCTGCTGGGGTCGGACCTGCCTGTGGAGGGCGGCAAGGGAGGCGAGTTCCGCTGGGCCGATGGCGTCTTCTTGCAGGTGCGTCTGGTAGAGCCTGCTTTTGGTTTGAGTCTATTTTTGAGGTGCCTCCAAAATAGTATGCCTGATAGAGGCTGCTTTTGGTTTGAATCGACTCAAAGGCCGATGGCGTCTGTCCGCCTCTAGGGCTGGGAAGGGAATGTGCTGCTGCTGTGGGTATGCACTTGTTGTTGGTCTGTCTGTGCCTCCACTTGTTGCATTCTGCTGCTGTTAGGGAACCTAGACTAGACATGGGCAAAAAAAATCGCGTCGAATCGCATCGCATTTAATTGCGTTTTTCCGATTGCTATTTGTTTTTTTTTTTTTTTTAAATCATCGCGCGACTACGAAACCCACTATGAAACCACACTAGTTATTTACACTCTAGCTTACGACTGCCTGTGATTCAATTTCCCGGCAGCCATAGTTTTTTTCTGGTTTTTTGGGGTGTTTTTGTATTCTGTTTCAAAACGCGATGCGATTTAAAATCGTATCGCACGATTTAATTAAATACCGCATGCGGTTTTAATATTCATCGTGCGCAAAACGCGACGTGCGATTTATTTTTTTCCAGAAATTAAATCGCATGATGCGATTTAAAATCGCATCGCATTTAATTAAATCGCCCCCCAATGCGATGCGATTGAAATTGCAATCGCATTTTGCCCATGTCTAACCTAGACCCTCTGCGATCTCCCATCCACCCCTTCTTCTCCACACGTTTCCCCTCTCACCCGCTATGATCGGTCCCTTCAACTTCATTGCTGAACCTTGCCCCATCTTTTTCCATCGCTCAAGCCCACCACACCCCACCGCACCTCACCTCTGCAGGCTCTGAAAGCAGGTGAGTGGTTGCTGCTGGACAAGCTGAACCTGGCGTCGGAGTCCATCTTAGAGGGCCTTAACAGCCATTCTCACTTCCCCTCTTCCCCCACTACAAACACCTTCTATCTAACCCCTACAGGCGTTAAAGGCAGGCGACTGGGTGCTGCTGGACGAGCTGAACCTGGCGTCTCAGTCCATCCTGGAGGGCCTCAACAGCTGCCTGGACCACCGCGCGGATGTTTTTCTGCCCGACCTCAACCGCACCTTCCACTGCCCGCCCTCCTTCCGCATCTTCGCGGCGCAGAACCCCCTGCAGCAGGGGGGCGGCCGCAAGGGCCTACCAAAGTCCTTCCTGAACAGATTCTCCAAGGTGGGATCATTGATGGCTTTTGAGTCGACTCAAAAGATTCTCCAAGGTAGGATCATTGATGGCTTTTGAGTCGACTCAAAAGATTCTCCAAGGTGGGATCATTGATGGCTTTTGAGTCGACTCAAAAGATTCTCCAAGGTAGGATCATTGATGGCTTTTGAGTCGACTCAAAAGATTCTCCAAGGTAGGATCATTGATGGCTTTTGAGTCGACTCAAAAGATTCTCCAAGGTAGGATCATTGATGGCTTTTGAGTCGACTCAAAAGATTCTCCAAGGTGGGATCATTGATGGCTTTTGAGTCGACTCAAAAGATTCTCCAAGGTGGGATCATTGATGGCTTTTGAGTCGACTCAAAAGATTCTCCAAGGTAGGATCATTGATGGCTTTTGAGTCGACTCAAAAGATTCTCCAAGGTAGGATCATTGATGGCTTTTGAGTCGACTCAAAAGATTCTCCAAGGTAGGATCATTGATGGCTTTTGAGTCGACTCAAAAGATTCTCCAAGGTAGGATCATTGATGGCTTTTGAGTCGACTCAAAAGATTCTCCAAGGTAGGATCATTGATGGCTTTTGAGTCGACTCAAAAGATTCTCCAAGGTAGGATCATTGATGGCTTTTGAGTCGACTCAAAAGATTCTCCAAGGTAGGATCATTGATGGCTGTAGCTGCTGCTGCCCCCACGTTCTTCATCCCTTGTGTTGATCTGTTTTGCTCGAGTCGGTTGGAGTGTGTGTAAACTGGCAGGTCGTGCATCTTCCTATATTTTGCAGGGTGTTTACTAAACTTCTCAAAACACCCTGCAAGGTGTTTTTGAGAATTCTCAAAAAGGTCCTATTGTCCTGCTCAAGCCTCAAACAAACACCTGTGCCCCGTTCCACCACCCTGTGCGTGCAACCCCACAGGTGTACGTGCAAGCCCTGGAGTCCGACGATTTCATATTCATATCCTCAGCGCTCCACCCCTCAGTGCCCCTCCCTCTGCTGCACAAGATGGTGGACTTCAACACCCAGCTGCGCACGCACGCCCTCTCCCGCACCTCCTCCTTCAGCATGGCTGCCAGTGGCGCTGGCGGGCCGCTCTGGGAGTTCAACCTCAGGGACGTGCTGCGCTGGTGCGAGCTCATATGCGCGCAGCAACAGCATCAGCAGCTGCAGCACCCAGGGCGGTTTGTGAATCTGCTGTACGTTCAGCGGCTGAGGTCTTCCAACGAGCGTCGCTTCGTAGCCAATCTGTTCCTCTCTGTCTTCGGCCACGCTCTGCCGTTCGACCCACACCCCTCCGTCTCCCTCACCCCTAATCTCCTCCGAGTAGGCAATGCTTCCCTCCCAAGAGCATCCCTCTCCGCTGCTCTCTCCTCCTCCTCTTCCCAACCCGCTCCCACTCCCTCTTCTTCCTCCTCCACGCTCCTTTCCTCCTCTCTCCACCTTCTCCCCGCCTCTGCCTCCGCCCTGGAGTCGGCTGTAGCAGCTGTAGCGCACAACTGGATGGTAATTCTCGTGGGGCCCGCAGCGTCAGGCAAAACCTCTCTTATCCGCCAGCTGGCGCAGATGGCGGGCCGGCGGCTGCGGGAGATGCCGCTGACGTCAGCAACGGATACGACTGACCTGCTGGGGTGCTTTGAGCAGAGGGATGGGAGGCGGCAACTGGGGGAGGTGGAGAGGCGGGTGGAGGGGCTAGTGAGGGAGGTGGCTGCTGCTGTACTCGCTAGTGGCGCTGATAGTGGTGCTAGTACCAGCGATAGTGGTGTTGGAGGTGGAATGGAGGAGGGAAGAGAAGGGGGCGAGGAGGGAGGGGAGAGGATGGGGATGGGAGAGATGGTGAGTGCGGTGGGGGGGCTGACTGGCGAATGGTGGAAGTATTGGCAGCAGGCGAAGGAGAGGGATGGGCTGAACCTGGGTAAGACAGAGAAGGCAGAAGAAGGGGAGGAGAGAGGAAGCGAGAGTGGAGGGGGGAGAGGAGAGGGTAGTGCTGATGGTGCTGTTTATGGCGCAAGTGGGATGGCTCTCCAGGCAAAAGACACGCTTGCTGCACAGCTTGCGCAGTTTGATTGGCTGCTGAGGATTGTCGGGCATGCCCGGAGCATGCTGGTGGCATTAGATGGAGCAGTAGATGGGGACGGAAGGAGGGGGGGAGATGAGAGGGGTGAGGAGGAGTCAAGGAAGGACGGCGGACAGGCAGTGGAGGAAGGGGAAGAAATGGCGGAAGGAGAGGAGACAGCAACCGTGGCAGCAGCAGTAGATGGAGGAAGTGAGAGTACTAACAGCCCTGTATCGGTCCTTGTCGTTGCAGCAGATTCCTTGGCTCAAGCAGTGGCAGAGGCGCGGTCGGTGTGTGAGGAGGAGGGCATGGCACGGGCAGCGGGGCACTTTGAGTGGGTGGAAGGGCCGCTCGTGGAGGCAGTGGTGCAGGGCGACTGGGCCGTGCTTGACAACGCCAACTTCTGCAACCCCTCCGTGAGTTGCATGGCTTCGGATTGTTTTGTTTTGCCTCAAGCCGTACAGTAACGTGCTGGCAAAGTAGTGGTGCCTGCATACAGTTTGTCTCTGAGTTTACGTACTCCGTTTTCCCTGGTATACCACTAGTTTCCTCAGGATAACATTTATGCACTCCTCATCCGGCTTATGCGTCTCCCTTTTCATCCTCCCTGCCTCTCCACCCCATCGCAGGTGCTGGATCGCCTGAACCCCCTAGTGGAGCCCAACGGCCATCTCCTGGTCAACGAGCGGGGCCTGGTGGACGGCAAGCCGGTGCTGCTGCGCCCGCACCCCGACTTCCGCCTCTTCCTGTGCCTGGACCCGCACTACGGAGAGGTGTCTCGTGCCATGCGAAACCGCGGCGTCGAGATCTTCCTCATGCCCCCCGATTGGCCCAGCCCTGCCTTGCCGCCCCTGCTTCCCGCCTCCGCAACTCGTGCTGGTGCCGCTTCTGCTGGGTCTGACACTGCTCTTGGTGCCGCTTCTGCAGCTGCGGGCCCTGGTGGTTCTGGCGGTCTGCTGGAACGGGTGGTGGTGGATTCAGGTTTTGGTGATGGCTCTGCTGGTGGGGGAGAAGGAGAGAGTGGAGGACAGGCAGGTTTAGCCAATCAAGGGACCCGCCACGTGGGTGAGGGGGATGGAGAAGAGAGGGATCCAGCTGTTGTGATCCTCTCTCTTCTGGATCCTTCCACTTGGATTGTCGGTCGGCACCAGCGCCTGCCCGAGAAGCTCATCTCAACCGTCCATCTCATCATCAGATCGGGAATTGCTGGCCCTCGGTTAGTGGCCTGCATTCTCCTCGCTCTCCTGCGGATCCAATCCCTTGCTGCCACGTGGAAGCTCCCTGGTGGCGGGTTTGTTGGTAAAAGAGCATTGGAAACTGGAGCAGGAGCCATGGCAGCAGAAGAGGCCATGTCGCCAGCAGCAGTGGCAGCAGCGGTAGAAGCGTCACAAAACTACGGTGCTTGTCCTACACTAAGAGACGTGACTCACCTGCTGCGGCTGTTGATGGAGCTGTTGTCTCGAGGGAAGCCGGTGGCGGTGGCGCTGGTGACAGCGTGGGATCAGACGTTCGTGCGGCGACTGCAGGACGAAGGGAGGAGAGAGCAGGCTGCGAGCGTCATTCGAGAGGCTCTGAGGTGGGCTTGTGAGGCACAGGTGCCAATGCCCACTCCACATGCTGCTGCTTCTGCTGCTGCTGCTGCTGCAGGTCAAGAAGCCCTCACCGCAGCTGCTACCTCCCTATCTCCTGTCACTGTCCCTCCCTTCGCCTCTGCCTCTCTTGTCCTGCCCGGTGGCTGGCCCATGGCCCCACTACCCCTGCCACTAGCCACACTCCACACCATGCCATCTCGCCTGCATGCCGATATCTCTCCTCTCATCACCATCCTGGGACAGCTCATTTCCTCAGAGCTGCTTGGCCAATGGGAGAGCATCTTCTCTCGGCACGATGATCTTCCACTCGGCACCCGCCACGTGGCGGCGCGTGACTGGGCCGTGCAGCTACCGCCACAGCTCCGGCTATGGCTGCCGGAGTCCTGTCTGGCCGTGGTATCACAGGGCAAGGACATAGAAGAGGGAGCTAGAGTTGTGGCCACTGCAGGCGTGTCGGCACGTGAGCGGGCACGGGGGGTAGTGCTGCTGCGTCTGCTGCTGGAACTCTTTCTCGATCGCAGCATGTCTCTAGAAGACTTGACTCTCCGCCTGTCTCTGGCCCGCTCTCACACCACTGGCTCCACTGTCGCTGCTGGTGGTGACGGTGGCAGAGGCAACCCTGCTACAGCAGCGGAAGCAGAACTCAACCGTCTGATTGACTCCCTCTCGCCACTCCCCTTGCACCGCTGTCTCTCGGACCTCTCCTCCGCTCGCTCCGCCCTGCTCTCTGCTCTCTCTGTGCCTGCACCCATCGCTGCCTCCCTGCCGCTGGACGTGTCCGTGTCTCCTGAAGTGGCTGCTCTAGTGGCTGATGCTTCTAGCACAGCTCTGGTCAGTGTGCCTGGGAGGCTGGGAAGTGGAGAAGATGGGGATGAAGGTTCAGAAGGCGCTATGCAGGCTAATGATGAAATAGGAGTGGGAGGAAGAGGAGGGAAAGAGGATCTACCCGTTTCTCAGCTGTGGGGCAATGTGTCTGCGGCAGCGAATAGAGTGAGAGCGCTCCGCCGGTGCCTGCTACAGTGGTCGCAAGAGGACGAGACGAGCCAGAGGGCGCTGCTAGCACAGGATGCCGCCTTCCAGTCCACCGCATTCGGCTGCTCCCTCCTGCATTTCTCGGGCGTTCCTGAGCAGCAGCAGAGGGCGAACCAGATACTAGCAGCGTCTGCAACAGCAGCAACCGGCACGGGAGGAGGAGGAGGAGGGGATGGGAGGTCGAGGGGTCTGCTGCTAGTGGCCCCTTTCCTCTCGGCACTGCGCCAGGTGGAATCGACGTTGCTGGACTGCCCTGCTCCGCTCGCTCATGCGATGTGGGCTGCAGCAGGGGCGGAAGGAAAGGGACTGAGAGAAGAGGGAAGCGGAGGGATTGGCACCACCGGTGGTGCGGGAGGGAAAGCACGGGGAGTGGAGGCGGAGGAGGCGTTTCTATCCGCGTTTGGAGTGGTGCTGGAGTGGCATGAGTCGCTGTGGGAGTGTGTGAGGGTTCTGCAGGCAGCCGTGCCCTTTGACCGGCTGGTCTTTGTGTGGCACAAGCTCTGCTCCGCTGCTCTCCGCATGGTCAAGGCTGCAGCCAGAACTGCAGCAGCAGCAGCAGCCGCAGCAAATGAGCGCAGTGGGGGAGTGGTGGGAGCGGGGCTGAGAATGTCAGCAGAGGAGCTAGCAGCTGTGCAGGCTGTGGAAAAGGTGAGGGTTTAGATCCACCTCTATGGCTTTTTGACTGGTATTTCACTTCAAGAACCCCTTCCGAACCGCTCTGCACCTCTCCAATCCAAGTCCTCCCTTGGCTCAGTGCAGTTCTGGCAAGAAATTCTCTTCATCCTTCCAGCTTCATTTCCCTAACTTCTGCTGTAGTTCGTCCTTAATTCATCTGCACCTTTCCCTTTCAGCTACTAAAAGCCTCACTCTCCATCCCTCCCGTCTTGCTGACCAATTCGCAACTCCCTCTCTCCTTGACTCCCCCCCCCCCCCCCGATCTCTCACCCCGTGCCAGGCGTGGCAGCAGCTGTGCGTCACCATGGCATCCATCAACAACGTCTTCGCCTCCCCCATCGCCCCACAAGAAGCAACCCTCGCTGCCACTGCAGCCGCAACCACCGCTGCACCCAGTGGCTCGCATCCCCCTCTCCTTGCGGCTCTGCTAGCTCTGCAAGGCCCCTCAGCAGCAGCCAGTGCAGCGCAGGACCGGGTGGGGAAGCGGTCGCTGTGGAAGGAGGCGGGGCATCCGCTGCTCCCTGCGTCCCTGGCCGTGCTGCAAGGGGACACGGCACTGGCTTCTCTGGTGGACGCGTGGGTGCTTGCTCCTGTGCGCACAGCGGGAACGGGCCACGGGGACGTGGAGAGCTTCAAGGCTGATGGTATGCGCCGCGCATGTGCTGTGATGTGCCACCGTTTCCTTGACTCCTTGCATTTTGTTTTGCTCTAAATAACATGCCTGGAGGGACTTGTTTTGCTGTTCTCTGCATGCGACATAGCTTGGTGAACCCTGTTTTCTGTGTATTGAACTCCGATTTTGGCCCCCCTCCAGACCAATGGGAGAGTGCCACGTGGCCGATGGCCGTGGACCCGTCCTTGCGGCGCAGGGCAGTGGAGGCCTTAGGGCTGCTGCGGCAAATCACAATGCGCCAACGGGGCATGGCAACTCATGCTGACAGAGGCACGGGCAGCAGTGGCAGGACAGAGGATGCAGAAATAACTGCTGCTGACCTCATGCTGGTTCGTCTCTCCACCCTGCTTCCGAATTCCATCGCTTTTGATTGAGTCTGCTTCCTTAACAGCTATTATTGAGTCGCCCCTCGGTTATTCAATTCTTCTGCTTGACTTCTTTTGAGAAGGGTCACTGCACTCTTTCCCTGTTTTCCCCTCCGTTTCACCAGGCCCAAGCCTTTCTTTCTGGTAACATTGTTTCCATTTTTCCATGCCCTCTCATCTTCTCCCATGCAGGCACTTCAAGGGGAAGCGCAGCAGGCCAGGGCCATTGCCTCTCAACCCCTGGGCCCCTGTGAGCTTATCCCCACAATTCCTCGCCCAACCACCACCGCTGCAACTGCCACCGCCGCCACCACCACCACCACCGCCACAACAGCTGCTGCTTCCCTGTCTGAACAATCCGCAGAAGATCCAGAGTCCTTTTCCCCTCCTCCCCCTGCCTGTCTGTTCTCGAGTGGTCTCATGAGGTGGCCTGGTGTGCGGCAGCTGTGGCTGGCCGTTCTGCCTCTCCTCTCCACCTCCTCCCACCTCCTCGCCTCATCCCTCGTTGTCCACCTGGCGCCGCTGCTTCTCCCGGGGACAGATGGCAAGCTGTCATTGGTGGCCCTGAGCAAGGTTGGTCGGTTGGTCGGTTGGTTCTAAGCTCTGACTTGCTGTGTGCACACCATCGTAGAGTGCATGCTGCACATGCAGCAGACTTATGCAATGCGCGCGCTGTTTGGCATCACGCAACGTATGTTGGCTGGTTGGTGGTACACGCCTGACTGATGTTGGTTCGACTTGTTCTGCACAAGGCTCGTCAGTCCCTCTACCAATTTTCCACCCCTTCTCCACTTTCCCCACACTCTTTGTGCCACTTCCATCCCAACCACCAGGCCTCCTCCTCTGTTTCGATCTCCTCTCTCTTCCGAAGGCTTCTTCTGGAGTCCTCCCGTGCGCCTTCCCAGCTGCTTCCGTTCCAGCAGCTGCTGTGGATCCAGAGGGTTCCGCCCTCCTCCTTCCTTCCAGGTACCTACCTGCTCGTTTCACACTTTCTCCCTCCTCTCCTCATTTCCGCCTCTTGCTTTGCTGCCTCATGCAGTGGCTCCTGGCACACCGGTCGAATCAACCAGTGTCAATTGTTTCCCATCCCGTTTGAGTCCGTTTGAGTCCGCCATAACAACTTCTGCAAAGCACTCTCTCCTTACGCCACACGAGCTCAACTATCTATGTGGTTCCTGTGCCCTCCCCTCAACCTCACCCTCCCGTCCCCCCTCTCTCCCCCCCGTTTTCCTGCAGACGAGCTCGCCCTCGCTCTGCGCTGTCTGCTTCACGACCTTCACTTGCGTCAGCTCGAGAGCCAATGGGAGTCCGCCACCTGGCGCCTGCCGCTGCTGCCATTGGGGAAGCGGTCAGGCAAGGGTGCCGACGTGTCAACATCTACAGAGGTAGGTAGTGATGGCAGGACTGGTTGGTTGGACACTTGAGGTGCCTTGATAAAGCAATGCTGCTGGTACAAACGTCAGCTGCGCAGCGGCTCCGAGTGAGTCAATTTTCAGTGAGGGATGTGTTATGCTTGCTGCGGATCGAATCCTATGTTTTCCCATCTGAAGGATGTGTTATGCTGCTACAGCAGCACTGCAGCTATGCTGCTATGAAAGGGTACAGTGCATATTCCGCACACGGCAGTTCAGAGGAAGCTGTTGCATTTTGTTATCTGTTTCTTCCTGTCACACCACTGATCTGTCAGACTCACATCCTTGGCATGTCCTTTTCACCATGCCGTCCCCTACCGCTCGCTCCCCCTCCCCCCAGCCCCTGACATGGACAGCCACATCAGGCTCTGCTCGTTTCTTCCAGTCCTCGGTCTCCCTGCTCTCTGCATCCCTCATGTAAGCCTCGTGATAACCCCCTAAACGGGGTGCCCACCTTGAGAGGTAGGCGGGCGGTATTGGACTGGAGGGGTTATTATCATACTGAAACCACGTGCAGTTGCCTATGTGCATGCATGGATGCATGCCCATTCCACTCCACCATCCTACCTGTTAGCCAAGTTCCCTCTCCAGCTCCTCCTTTTCACTCTCCCTTCATTCATCGATGCCCTTCTCCCCCTCCCCTCCTCCCCTCATTTCTGTCTCGTGCCATCCCCCCCACTCCCCTCCCCTCTTTCTCCCCCTCCCCACCCTTCTCTCCCCTGCTCTCCTTTCCCTTTCTTCTCCCTCCCTCTCATCCTCCTCTTCATCCCTCAGAGCGGACATGGGGGGAGCAGCAGGGGGCCCATGGGGGGGTGGAGGGGCGACAGTAGCAGAGAGTCAGGTGCAGCGGGGGCAGCTGCTGCTGGCGGCTGCAGGAGTGGGGGCGCTCTGCTGCGCCCCTGCTGCCCCTCGCTTTGACCAGGATGTCACTGTTGCTGTGGCTTCTCTTGCTCAGGTGAGTGATTGACTGCTGAGGTACAAGCCGACAAATCTTGCGCAGAAATGACCGCCACTGTTCTTATCGTGCTAGGGTCTACTCATGTTATCACCCCATTTTGCACTACCTCTTCCTTGCTTTCTCTCGACGTCAGTCAAATCCCTGCTTCAAATCCCTTCCTGCCCTGCCTATTGCCCCGCACTTCAGATCATAGCAGCTCACATTGCGTGCTTTCCAGAGTCCCTCCGTCCGTCTCTCTGTCACGAGCTCTCCTCCATCACATCCCAGCGCCACAAGGTGTGTGCTTCTTGTTGACTCAAAATCAGACGTTGCTGCTTTGTTGCAGCCCATTGCCCCCTTTCTTCAGCAGGGCTCTGCCCTATTGCAGCCTTGGCCTTCCTTTCTGTTCCAATCCGCTCCAGTCGTTTCTCTTCATGCCAATCAATCGAGTGCTTGCATCACAATCAGATCCGCACCTCCTTTTGCTAGATCTCCTGTTTATTTCCGATGTGTCTCATCTTTCCCATTCCCGCTGCCCCCCATTGTCCCCCTCCATCTCCCCCCCTCCCCCCTCCAGGTCACGGCACATGACATCGCGCCTCTCCACCACCTCCTCTCCGCCACCTGTCCGCACCCTCTCTCCCTCTTCGCCTCCCATCTGCTGCTGCCCGCTCTCTGCTCCCTCGCTGATGCTCTCCGTGCCAACGCTAAGCCACCGGGACAGGGCCTGCTTCAGCCCGATTGTTCTGGTGAGCATATAGTCTATCCTCCTTGTACGTTGTGTCCACTTTTTCACATAGGAGGGCTGTGTCTGATGGTTTATCCCCTTCATATCTTATTCGTAGCCTATCGCGTGTCAGAGAGGACAGGGAACAAACCACTGCATCCACTTTTGGCGAAACCTCCCCTCTTTTCTCCCCTACTGTTCCATCCTTTCCCTTTCACTCAATTCACTCCACCTTGTGTCCGCTCCGGTGCCGTCTCCCCTTCCTCTCTCCCCTCAGAGGCCCTAGCGCATCTAGGCAGTGCATGGCTGAGGGTGGGCTGTCTGCGCCTGCACCTGCTGCTGCCGCCAGGGGGAGTGGACCCCACTTCCAAGTACCGCCACGCGCTCTCCCACTTGGAGCAGCAGCATGCTGACCTTACACTCCAACTCAAGGTTTGTGGAGCCTCCAGGTGCTTGACTACTCACATCCACCGCTTCTCGCTAAGACGCTCATTGGTGATTTTTTAGGCGCCTAAAAAAACGCACTCCCTGAATCTCATCCGCTGCCTCTCGTTAAGCCGCCCGTTGCTTGTGTGCACCTGCTTGGTTCCGACGTGCCTCAACCTATTTTTTCCTGATAAAGACTCCTTAGATATAGCTATCCGTTCCCTCTCACCCGCCCTCTACTCCACCTACTCTGCGCTCACCTACCCTTCTCCCTCGCTCGCCCCTCCCTCCCCGCCACGCCACAGCTGCACGAGTGGCTGGCAGCAGTGGGCACGGACGGCATCACACACCACCACAGGGCCGCACGGGCGATTGCTGTGCAGCTGGAGGAGGTTTCCAGGAAGCTGTGGGCCGCACGAGCCAAGGTGTGTTGTGAACTGTCGACCATACGTGCTGTTGTGTCATCGACCATGCATGCCGCTGAGCGTTATGCATGTCGACCAGCACACATCTGGTTGGCGAAACCCTGGTGAGCCAGCCAAGGTAGGCTCGTTAACCGGCTGGCTCAGGGTTGGCTCGTGACGAGCCACCTCCCGGTGCGTTCCGATGTCACAAGCCACAAAGTCGGGCAGCTGCTCGGTTCAGCTCATGCTGAGCCGGCTCGGCTTGGCCCTTGTTGAGGGCGGCTTGATTCAAGCCGGCCCTGGCTCGGCGCCAGCTCATTCCTACGGCAAGGGGTGTTTAAACCACCAGGTTGGAGGAGAATAGTTTAACTCACAAGAAAAAAGTTCCACGCACAAGAGAAGAGTCCCACACTTCATGCACGCACTATCCTCTAGCATGCCACGCTTTCCGTACACTCTTCAAGCTACAACTGCCACTTCTTACGCAATATTCACCTCATCCTTCTATCCCATATGCCACCATCACTGCCACTTCTATAACCCCCATCCGCCCCTTCCTCCTTCCCGCCATCCCCCGCCTCACTCTCCAGCACCCCCTCCCTTCCCCGCCTCACTCTTCCCCTTCCGCCCTCTCCCCCAACTCTCCAGTCCGTGGCTCGACCAGAACCCTCACCCTACCCAGCGTTCTTCCAGGAAGTCTCGCGCTTCCTCACATGGACGGCGGGCGTGGAGCGCGTGGGCGGCATTGTTCAGCAGTGCATGGCGGTGGTGGCGGGGGCGGCAGCTGCGACGGATGTTTGTGGGAGCTCGCCTGTGCTGGGCTCTGACTTGCAGCTGGCGAATCTTCTGTCTCATGTGTCCGCATGGAAGGTGGGTGGGAAAGTATGCCAATGGCTGGGTTAGGTGGTGGGTGAGCGAGTGGGTTATGACATCTCATGGGTGTGTGCGCTGACACACGGTTGCATGAGCACATATGTGTGTTTTGAGGTGGCTTATGTTTTGACGGCTTTCACGTGCGCAAGTTTCTTTTTTCACCAACGAAGAGGGCTTGGACCTTGTATTCTATCTGTCTGCTGTTGTATCCAGCTACTGACCGAATATGGCTACTCAAAGTCAGCACTCTCTTCTGCTCCCCCTCCCCATCTCCTCCACTACCCCCCTTCCTGACTCCATTTTCCACCTCCTTCCCTATATATCTCCCCACCTCCTCTCCCCCCTTCCCCAGTCGTCGGTAGCAGCGTTCGCACAGCGCCTGCCACGCAGCTTCCCGCTGCTCCGGGACGTCACCCAGCCGTGCCAGCTGGCGGCCTATGAGATGGTGCATGGCGCATCGCTGCTGCTCTGGGCCGCGCTCTCGTCGGCCCTTCGGACGACAGACGGGCCTCTTACGGTATGTTATCTTGTTCTTTGAGGCGCCTCAGCCTCAGCCTCAGCAATCGTCACCCAGCTGTGGCAGCTGGCGGCATACATATGAGATCATGCATCGAGCATCGCTGCTGCTCTCTCCTCCGCCTGTCAAAAAGACGAGTCGAGTCAAAACTCGACTCGTTTGAACATACCCACCCCTCTCTATACTCATGCACATGCTACTTCCCTCATACTCATGTTGTGTATCTCCCCTTTCTCATGTATCCACCACCCCTCCTCCCCCTCCTCGCATTCAGGCTGTCACCAAATCCCTCCTTGCCTTCCCCCGAGGCGTTTCCATCCCCGCTCAAAATCAACCACCTGCCCCCACGTCCGGCACCAAGGCCACCAGCATCACTATCAGCAGTGGAACAGAAGAGGCAGCAGAAGCATCAACTGGAGTTTCAGCCTCCCGCGCTGCTCTGTTCCTGCACAAGGATGTGTTTGCAGCTCTGCATGCCCGCGCCAGCAGGTTCAGCATGGGGGGGAGTGGCAGCAACCAAGAGAAGGAGGTAGGCAGCACAAGGGAGCAGTCACTTTGCATTTTGGTTTGAGGCACCTTGCACTACTCTCGTAGTCACTTGGCAAAGCATTTTCTGAGCCAACTTAAAGGGTGGTCGCTGGCCGGTTACTGCCCCCCCCCACAGTGGCATGTGAAGTCCCTTCCCGTCGCACTCGTTGCAGTGGGTATGCCTAGCTGGTGCTCCAACTTCTAGTACCCACAGATTGTATTTCACGCTTTCAGCTCTTATTGGCGCTCTTCTGTGTTTGCCACTGCAAACACAATATTGTGTGCAGGTGACAGCGTCGGTGGCGGTGGTGTCGTTGCTGCGTGCCGCACTGTTTGCAGTGAAGGATGACGTCACTCCAGCTGCACTCTACTCCCCAGCTACAGGCGCTGAGGCTCTCCAGGTGTGTGTGGCACTGCAAGATGTGGGCGTGCTGACGTGGGGTTCTTGGATTGCTGATGAGGTGGACGTGGAATTAGATCTCTTGATATGACCTGACACGACAGTTAGGCAGGCACGTTCTCTTGCTACAGTGCATTCTTGCACTAATTGTGGCCCCTGTCCTTTTCACCTATCCAGGCTTTCAAGCGGTAGCGGCTATTTCAATACTCCGCCTCTTCCCTTTCCACCACCAACTTTCTCCCACCACCGCTTCTCTTCCCTCTCCCTTCTCCTCCCCCTCCCTCCCCCCCCCCCGCCCCCTCCCCCCCTCTCCCCTTCTCCCCCTAGGTTTCAGAGCGCAGCACGGCCACCACGAGCACACTAAGCTGGAGAGTGGAGAATGGAGAGGGGCACCAGTAACAGCTACTTGCAGTGCCCCCCTCTACCACTACCACCACCAAATTTCCCCCACCACCTCTTCTCTTCCCTCTTCCCTCGCTCCCCTCCCCCCACATCTCTCTCTCCCCCTAGGTCCTGGAGCAATCGTTTGCAGCGTTTGTGGACATGTGGTCCGAGATGCGAGAAAAAGAAAAGCGGCAGCAGGCAGAGGCGGAGCTGGTGTACAAGCAGCGCAGCACGGCCACCACAAGCACTCTGGAGCTGGAGGAGAACGACGCGGAGGCGGAGGAGGAGGAGTACCGCGCCATGTTCCCCACGCTGTCGGACCACTTTGCTGACCTGGACGTGAAGGAGCACGTGCATGCTGACGAGGAGGATGTGAGTGATATTGGTTTAATCTTGTTCTGAGTTGCCGCTGGAAACGGGATTTCAGGGAGCAGAGCGTGTGCATGCTGATGGTGATGGGGACGTGAGTGAAACAGTCCAGGCGCGGTAGAATCAAGCATGAAATAAAGCATTTAATGAAAGGATGTGAGTGTAAGTGTGGTGTGTGTGGGCTTGATGATTAATCTCCTCCTCCCTCCTCATCCCCCTCCTGTCTCGTTGTGCATCAGGCCCATGCAGCACGGGCAAAGAAGCAGGAGGAGGAGAGGCAGAAGCAGGAGGAGGAGGAGGAGGAGGAGAGCAGGGCTGGTAAGGGGATGGCAATCGTGTGGAGGGCGCTCAAGGAGGAAGGCGGGCTCACATCCGAGCTCGTTGACCTGCATTGCCGCCTCTTCTCCCCTGCTGAGGTATGAAATGTGTTGGCCTCCTAGTGGCCAACGGGTGTGCTTAAACTGAACCCTCAATAGTAGGTCAGAGCTCGTAAACTTGCACTGCCGGCTCTTCTCCCCTGTGGAGGTATGCTCATATTTGCCTCTTGGTATGCGACAGGTATGCCTAAGCACTCCATGGTAGGTCAATTACGACGGAATGGCTCTCTTATTACTCTTCATCGCTCTCTCTGAACCTCCCTCTCTCTCAACCACCTTTCTTTCTGCACCCACCTGTCAGGAGCTCACCCCGCACACGTGTGCAACGCCACCTGCCCTCCCGTCCTCTGGCTTCATGGCGGCCTATGACACTGCAACGCACATTCTCAGAGGTGCCCCGCGGCCCCGCCTATCCCTTTCTTGCCATGACTTTTGGCTCCTCAGTGTTCAACTGAGACATGCTTGGTTTGCTGTTCTCCTCTCCAGGTGCTATGACTGGCGTTCCTGCCCTTTGCTTCCTTCCACACCTTTCCCTTGCTCTCATCTCACGCCGTCCAATTCTTCCGAACCTCCTCAGCCTCTGTCCTCTCTCTCCTTTCTCCCTACTCTCTTTCCCCTTCTCCTCCCTCCCACCTCGCGTCCTTCAGTCGCCGACGGTATTCTCCCGTGCTCAGTGGACGAAGCAACATCCGAGGCCCACTTCTTCCGCCTCTGCTCTGCTGCTAACGAACTCTCCACTGCATCCGCCACCGCTACAAGCACATCTGCTTCTATCACACCAGCACCAGGGGCAGCCGAGCAACGGGCCATTCCAGTGGACCTGAGAAAGGTCGCATTTCCATCCACTGCCTCTTTCCTCAAGTGTGCTGAATCGCGGTTTAAAGATGCTGTCTTACCCAATGTAGCCATTTTGGCCTCTTCTATTCTCCTCCTCTCCTGTTCCTGTTCCTGTTCCTGTTCTCATCCGCTCCTCATCTCAACTCCCCTGCCTTCCTCCCATCCCCACACACCGCACATCCTTCACTGCCCTTACCACCCTACCGCAGGTGGCGTCGCCATCAGAGCTGGCTCTCATGCTGCCGCCGCTGCAGGCCCTCCTGCAGCGCCTGCAGCAGCTGCTGGAGGAGTGGCCCGACAACCCCCTCCTCACCACCCTCGTGCAGATCGCTGCGCGCCTGCTCGCCCTCCCACACACCACTCCTCCTCTCAAGGTCAGGTCTCCCCTCTTCCTATTCCGGCTACATCAGCTACGTTCTTCAGCAAGTGCAAGTCGTTGTGAAAGTCCTATGCAAGTTACTGGAGCGCTGCTCAAGGGGGTACGTTTTCGGTGTGGGCGTTGTTGCAGGCACTGGTGGGGATGGAGCTGCTGCTCACCAAGGCGCAGATATGGCAGGAGCATGCAGCCGCTCGCGTCTCCATAGCACGTGAGCCCTTCTTCAGCCCTCTCCTCCTTCCTCTCTATCTCTGTCCCCCCTCCTCCTCCTCTCTCCCTCCTCCCCCCCCCACACACACCCTGCCGCCACCTCCTACCTCCAGCTTCTGTTCCTTTCATAGCCACCCCATGCGTTGACAGCTTGGATCAATGATTTCTTAAAGCCACTCACCCGTGTTGGCAAATGTTCAGCCAAGAAGGCAGGAGCAAGATCTACTGTCCTCCAACCAACTGTATCCCTGCCTGTTGCACTCCCTTTCCTGCCGTCTTTCTCTCTTACTCCTGCACCCCTCCGCACTCAATCTCGCAAACAATCCTCCCCTCATGCATGTGTACATCCCCACATGAATGTGTACCGTCCCCCTTGGGCCGTGCCCCCTAACACACTCTTTCTCTCACTTTCCCTCTCGCCCTCTCCCCCCATACAGCGGAACTAGGGGGCATATCGCGGGTGGTGAAGCGGTGGCGCATGAAGGAGCTGGCCTCGTGGCCTGCTCTACTGGACGCCCGCTCGCGCAAGCACACCGCTACGGCTGACAAGGTGAGGGCGCGTGCTGTGGCGATGCTGGGGAGAAAGGAAGGTGGGGGGAAGGCAGGTGCCTTGGCCAGCAATGTTGGGGAGCTGGCTGGCTTCTTGGCCTGCTCTAGTGGATGCCCGCTCCAGCAAGCACACTGCTGCTGCTGACAAGGTGAGGGCGGGTGCTTGGGAAAATTTGGTGTGGTGATTGATTGGGCGTAGGCAAGACAGGTGCCCTTGCAGTTGCAGGCATACTGCGACGGTGGACATTAGGACGGGTCCTGTGGTGATGCTGCGGAGAAAGGAAGGTGGGGGAGAGGCAGAACAGATGCCCGACTCCCGAGCTCGCAGGCACACTGCTGCTGACAAGGTGGGCTCAGAGTGATGCTGGTCCTCTCTCCTGTGTGTGTGTCGTCTGTGTGTTTCCCGTCATCTGTATAGCTGCTCCTGTTGGTCCATTGCAGGGAGGGAGGGTTTCACATCCCCTGTTTTTGGCCCCGTCAACTGATTGATCCCCGTCTCATTTTTGCCTCCTGTCCATGTGCAGCTCTGGTTTGTCCTCTACGATCTGCTCATCCAGCCGTTCTCACAACCTTCGACGCAAGCAGCATCCGCCGATGCAAGCACACCTGCTGATACAGTCACATCCGCTGCTGCAAGTGCACCCACCGATACAGTCACGCCTACAGATCTTGCGAAGGGCAATGGCATGGGTGATTCAGATCCGAACAGGGAGCAGAAAGGCGGGCAGAAACTGGATCGTGTTGGCGAAGTGGCATCAAGGTCAGTCAGCCAGCCCATCAGACGGCTGTCACTGGCTTTTCCTCTCCTTGCATTTTCGGAGAAAGCTTCAACCAGTGGGAGCAGAAATTGATGATGCAAATTTTAAATTGCTAGGAAGAGATTGCAGAAAATTTGAAAATTGCACCACCGATTTCTGCTCCCCCATTCAGTCGTTGAGGCTTTCCCCGCAACATCTCCCTTCCTCGTTCCACTCTCTTTTCCTCCCGCCATTTGAGAGGTCTTGGTGGAAGAAAGTAGTCGTTTGCATTTCAGTACCTCAAACCTGCATACAATCTTACATATTTCTCCACGACCTCTCCCCTCTGCCACCGCTCCCCCTCCCAACCACCACCCTTTCAACCACCCTTCATCCATCCCCCATCGCCCACCCCTCTCTCCCCCGTGCCTGCAGTCTGGAGGACTTTATCCGCTCCTCCCCTATCGGCGAGTTCCCCCGCCGCCTGCAGATGCTGCGCGCCTTCCGCTCCCACCTCCTCGCCACTCTCTCTGCCTCCTCTCCTTCCTCCTCTCACTCTCCTGCTGATGTTGCTGCTTCTGCCGCTGCGCCATCGCCGTCCGTCGCCGCTGCTTCTGTTGCAGCAGATGGTGCTGGGAGTACCGGGGGTGGCAAGGGGGGGGGAGAGGGCTCCACAGTACCAGCAGCAGCTCTTGGAGAGGAGGAGAGGGTGAAGGAGAAGCAGCAGCTCATAGCTGTTCTCTACAACCTCCATAACTACTTCGCTCAGTACCTTGCACCGTAAGGCTCCTGGTTAGATCCTTTTTCATTTTCCTCTGGCATTTTCCCAAGCCCTTCCCATCTCCCACCCCTCTCCCTCCCTGTCCTTTATGTTTCAAACCCGTCGCTCCTTCCCCCCTCCGCTCCCTCCTTCCTAGTGTGACATCGCCCATGCAGGGTGCTCCACACCCTTGCGAAGGTGTTCTGTGGTGCCAAGAAACCCGTCTCTCTCCCCCATCCTCCCCTTCTTTCCGCAGTGTGACAGCAGCCATGCGAGCGGCCCGGCGCCCGTTGGAGGTGGAGCTGCAGCAGCTGGTGACGCTGACGCGGTGGGACGACCGCTCGTACCACGCGCTCTCCATGGCCTCGGAGAAGGCCCACCGCAAGCTCGTCAAGCTCTCCCGGAAGTGGGATGTGAGTGGAGGGGAACAGTGAGAGGGGAGAAGGGGGGGATGGGGGATGGCACAGGGGGGCAGGGAAGTTGGGACTTTATTTTGCTTCCCACTTTTTTAAAAAGGAAACATCTGGATGTCTCTCACTGCACTGCGTTTCGTGACGTGAAGGCCTTTTGTCATCTTCATTGGTTTACTCCTGGTCCGCATACTCTAATCCATGTCCATCTCCCGTCCCAGTGTGGCGCTCCCTTCCGGGTTCTGGAGTCTCCTCTTTACCTTCTCCAACAGCTATTGTAATTGCACTACACTATATACAACTTCATGAAGTAAAGTCCCTTGCTTGCGCGCTGCCATGCTCTTCTACTGAGCCAACTCCAATCCACTCGCAACATCCTGGAATTCACTCCTTTGCTCCTCTTCAACCCTTCCCTTCAATCTTCTCCGCCCCCCTCCCCCCTGCCTTTTCCACGCGTTCCCCTCCCCCATCCCTTCAACCCCGCGCACCCATCTGCAGCACTTCCTCAAGCGCCCTGTGGTGCACACGCTGGCAGCAGCCTCCGCTCGCATTGGCCTGCCAGAGCTCACTGCTGTGCACACGGGCCAAGCCGACGACGCAGCCGCAGCAGGTGCAGCAGGGACAGGAGGGGGAGCAGGGGGAGTAGGAGGAGCAGGGGCAGGGGCAGGTGGTGGAGCATTGCAAGGGGCGGCTGTGATGGCTGCTGCCAGTGCAGCCAAGGGCAGGGCACAGGGCGTTAGGCGGAGACGGTTCCAGAGGAAGAAGGCTGCTGAGGTCACAAGGTGGGTGCTGAGGTCACGTCACGAGGTGGGTGCTGTCATCGTGCTCTAAGTTAACTCCTTTTATCGTTCCAAAAGAAGGCAGCCTTGTGGTGACGAATTTTCCCCTTCTGCAGACTTGACAGGTGCGTCTGAGTCTGAGGGTGGTTTTCCTGGACCACCAGCACCACCGGCGTGGGTATCTGTGTGTCTTGCATGTGTCCCTAGGTTTCTTTACCTGGCACTTGTGCTGCTGCCTATCCTCCGGTTGAGGTTTCTGTCCTTCTGACTCATCTCACTTTCCTGCAGCTCGTTTCTTGAAAATTCTTCAGCAGATGTTAGCCACTTTGTCCAGCTTAAGACTCGGCTTCTTGACCCTACCTGATACCCACTGTTCTTACTCATTGCTTACTCGGCTTACTCATTGCTTACTCGGCTTACTCATTGCTTACTCGGCTTACTCATTGCTTACTCGGCTTACTCATTGCTTACTCGGCTTACTCATTGCTTACTCGGCTTACTCATTGCTTACTCGGCTTACTCATTGCTTACTCGGCTTACTCATTGCTTACTCGGCTTACTCATTGCTTACTCAGCTTACTCATTGCTTACTCGGCTTACTCATTGCTTTCTCTATCCTTATCAGGCCACCAACCTTCGAATCCATTTCTTCGGATCTGAGTGGCTTCGTGGCTGCACATGCGCCTCTGCTCGCCCTGCCTTCCGTCCCTCCACACCTCCCTTCGTCATCTGAGCCGGCTACAGCTGTCAATACACAGCCAGCTTCAGGTCCGTTAGCCCACACACTGCTCTGTCCTGTAGTGTATGCCTGTTCTAGGGCAACCTATACACCCCTCTCTGCACACTATCCTTACCTTCTTCACTTCCCTGCACTCACCTCCCTCATGTCTGTCCTCATGCTTGTTGCTGTTTGCGACTAGTGTATTCTCCCTCATGTCTCACCTCCCCCCGCCCCACCCACCCCTCGTTTCTCTCCCCAGCAGGAGTGCTACAGCAGCTGCCCATATCAGCCCTGGCCTCTCGAGCTGCTTCTCTTCTCTCCACTGCTCTCTCCTCCCCGTCCATCCTGCATACCAACGACCCCGGTGCCAGTGCCGACACTGCTGCTGCTCCTGCCAGTGCTGCTGCTGCTGGCACTGCCGGCACTGCTACTGCTGCCAGTGATGTAGCTGCTGCTGGCGGGTCACCTTCCCCTGTCGGGACAGCAGCAGCAGATATGGAAGCAGCAGAGACAGTGGAAGACCTTACAGTCACTGTCATCTCCCGCTGTTTCGAGCTGCGGTCACTGGGGGAGAAGTGGGAGAGGGAGGAGGGGAAGAGCAAGGCAGAAGCAGGGGGAGGAGGGGGAGCGGATGGGAAGGGAGGCGGGGAGAAGAAGGAAGGGAGCAGCCACAGGGGGTTGGTGCGTCAATTGAAAAAGAAGGCAGTGGTTGACCTTCTGAGGACGCTGAGAGGCCTGGGTGTTAGCTCCAGACGCACTGCCGTGCCCGAGGTAAGGACTATTGTGGGGGGTGAATACAAAGAAGGCTGCTCTTGTCCTGCAGCAGTAGGGACCGGCAACCTGCTGCGTTGAGTCTTTTCTCTGTCCCTCCTGACTCTTACCTGGAGGAACCCTGTCAGTACTCTCTATCTCTCTCACTTCTTCTCTCCCTCTCTCACTTCCCCTCTTCCCCTCGCTTGCTTCCTCTCTCTCTCTCTCTCTACCTCTCCCTCTTTTGCTTCCCCATCGCAGATCCATCGCTCACCACACTCCTGGTTCCGCCAGCAACCAACTGACGTGCAGCAGCTGCTGCAGCTAATAGTAACCCTACAGCAGCGGCAGCTGCTGCAGCCGCAGGGGGGGGAGAAGGACCGCAAGCAGTTAGCCACGTCAGCAGCAGCATCTGGGGCATCCACTGCTGCCACGGGAGCAGCCAACCCGCTGAATGTGCGTCAGCTGGCAGAGGCGGGCGTGGCAACGTGGCAGCGTGCGAGTGGGTACTACTATGGCAACATGGCGCGCCTGCAGCGCGTGTGGCAGGCCGGTCAATCGTTCCATAAAGACCTCACACTCAGAGAGGTGAGCGGCTGGGGATGGATGGACACTCTCGCAGACTCGCAGTGAACCACGAGTGTCTTACTCTAGTAAGACGCTAAGTTGGAACGCACAATCCTTGTGGTTTTGAAAGCTAGGTCCACAATCGCCTCCTCACGTCTTTCCTACCATGTCTTTTCTCATCTTATCTTCTCCTCTCTTTCGTCTCACATCTTTCCCAATCCCACTTCTTCAAAACCCCGTCACCAGGTGACGATAGCAACGCGCATGTTGGAGCACCTGCTCTTCGTGCAGACCTCCCAGAGGGCCACCGCACAGGCAGCAGCAGCGGACATCACTCGGCTCGCATCCGCTGCTTCCACCTTCGCTGCTCTCGGTGCGTTCACTCTCACTCCCATGCGGGTGATAACGAATGAGCCCATACACTGCAAGATGGTTGGCTAGATTTGTGAGGGTGCTGACCTACACAAATTTAGCCCTCCAAGAAAGGTCTGGGTTTTCCATGCGTCCCTCTGCTCCTGGGATGCAGCAGCAGTAGGTGCAGCAGCAGACACAGCAAGGAGGGCAGCAAGGACGGACACCTGATTTGAAGCCATGTTGTATTAAACTCTCTCCGCCTCCATTTCATGTGTGCCTGTTCGCCCCACTACAGCAGGACCAACCACCACCACCACCACCATTAGCAGTGGCAGCTGGAGCCCTCTTCCCCCACAGTCTCTTGTGGCCTTCTGGCTCTCGACCCAGCAGGTACTCACTCCCTCTGCTTTTTCGCTCCTCCTATTCTCCCTGCTGTCTGTCCCCCTACTACCCTTGTCCCTTGCCTACCTGACCCCTCCTGCTCCTAGGCCTTCCCGTATCACTCTCATCAAATTCCTGCTTCACAATCACATTGATTGCCCTCTGGCCCCCATCCTACCTGAGCACCAAACTCCCACTTTCCCCTCCCCTCCTCTCCTCTCCTCTCCCCTCCTCTCCTCCCCTCTCGTGCAACCTCTGTCCCCCGCTCCTTCCCCCCAACTACACAGCAACTCGTAGCCTCCCTACTGGCCTCCCTGGGCGACCTCCGCCAGCTGGTGGCTTCAGCAGCTGCCACGTGGCACGAGCTGCCACATGGCGCCCCGTCAGCAGCCTCTGCAGCCACTGCTGTGACACATGCCATGGAGGATTTGATCAAAGCACAGGCGTCTCTCCACCTCCTGCAGCCGCCACCCACCACCTGCAGCACGCCCGGCCTTCTCTCCTCCTCGCCTTCCACTCTCCTCCCACCTATGGCGCCCCACATTCTCCTCTCCAACTTCGCTCACGTGAACGAGGTGTTTCAGCAGCTGCAGCAGTCTCTGGAGTGGAAGCTGCCTGCTCATGCTTCTGCTGCTGGCGATGCTGCTGCCAGTGGTGAGGCTGCTGCTGCTGCTGCTGATGCTGGTGGCGCTGGAGCAGGGGAGGATGATGGTGCAAGTGATTCGGACTCCCTCATGCGATGGGTTCCCGGGTGGAAAGTGCTGCGAGATGCTTTTATCAAGGTATGAGAAGATCTGTCTGGTGTCAGTTGCTGTCTGTTACAGGTTGAAAACACAGGTTTAATCTGCGGGTATTCCATGACTCCTTCGCACCTCATCTCTTGCATTCGACGGCTCACCATCACTTCACTCTTCAATTGCCGTTTTCCCTTACCTGACAACAGTGGTTTGTTCACAAATCCCTTGCTCCGTTTCTCCCCCTAACACTGCCTACTGTATTTGCCTCCTCGCCGCAGTGAAGTACAGCCCTCCTTGTAGTAAAACCTTTCTTATTCCTCTGCTTGTCCCCTGCCTCTTCCTGGGAACCAGGCAAACGCCCTCTCACTGGAATGCCAGCAGATCCTGGGCCCATTCTCCTCCACTAAATCATCAGGACACCAGTCAACACCAGAGAACCACGCTACATCCCCTCCTACTGAAGCCGCTCCCTCTCAAGCAAACGACAACACTTGTTCTTTTCCCCAGACGTCCAACCTGACCCCTGAGTTTACATTCAGCTTGACTGCCTTCCACTCTGCTTACGACGCTGCGTTGACCCAGGTGCTGCTGGGGGTGCAGTCCCTCTCCCGCACTGCCAAGCAGAGCGCTCATGCCCCCGGAGGAGCTACTACAGAGGAGAAAGGAGAGGAGAAAGAAGGGGGTACAGGAGAAGGGGGAACGGAGGGAGAAGAGGCAGGGGGTGGGACGGTGGAGGAGGAGGTGGAGGAAAGGAAGGGAGGTTTGGGCTTGGTTGAGGATGGTGGTGGGGAGATGGAGGGGGTGGAGGGGAGTATTGTGGGGTGGAGTAAGGAGGCGGAGAGGCGGTTGCTGGTGCTGCGCCTGCCTCAGATGGTGGCTGCGGTTGATGCTGTGGTTCTGGCTGCTGTAAGTAGTTCTGTAGTCAGAAGTAATACAACAGAATGGTTGCTTCTGTAGTTCTTTATTCTTTCTTTTTCCTCTTCCTCGTACTTTTCGAACGCGCAGTCTTCTCTACACCTGACTGCCCTACCTCGCTCCCTTCCCTCTGCGACTACCTCCAATGTTGTCTCCTCCTTCTGCCACCGCTGCGTTGCCATACGGTCACTGCTCATATCACCCTCACATTTCCTCCCTATGCACTTGGTTGCAGAGATCGGTTGCTGATGCAGGCAACAAAGACAGTTCCACGTCTGCAGCAGCAGCAGTGACTCAGAGGCTCGCTCAGCTGCATGTGATGCTGGATCTGGTGGTCACTGCATCGCTTCACCTTCTGGGAAGCTTCCTCTCGCTGCACAAAGCTGTAAGTCTTACCACCACTCCCATCCTTTGTATCCTCTCTTTTTATCTTGGTTCTCAAGCGACTTTAAGTTCACTCACTTGCAGTGCTTTGCACATGCAACGTGGCTATCAACCCCCTCCCCCCTCCTCCTCCCCCGTGTCTACTTGTCCTTTACACCACCTCCCGCGCTGTCTACAAGTCGTGTTGCGATTGAGTTGGCTCGAAAGTAGCTGCAGGTTGCTGCAATTTCTGTTGTGGTAGGTAGAGCTCTTCTCTTGACCATCCATTTCTTCGTCCTGCTTTCCACTCGTCCACGTCTCCCACTCTCCCCCAGGTGGCCAAGCTTGCCCTCGTGCTGGCTAATCTCTTCATGGCTCTCTCCGTGCAGGGATTCTTTCACTCTTCATGGCACGCCCCAAGGATTCATTCATTCCCCCACTTCTTCCCGCATTCCGCCTCTCTCCCCCCACCGGGTGGCCAAGGTTACCCATGCGCCGGTAAACCTGTTCACAGCCCTCTTCCTTGAGGGCTTATGCACGCCCAATGACTCTTGTACTCCCTCTCCCATCGCTCTCGCCCCTTTCCCTCACCCCTCCAGGTGGCGAAGCTCGCACACGTGCTGGCCAACCTCTTCACTGCTCTCTTCCTGGAGGGCTTCTGCACGCCCAAGGATGCGCAGGAGGAGGAGGGCGGGGGCAAGGGCGCAGGGAAGTTTGAGGAGGAGGAGGGCACGGGCATGGGCGAGGGGCAGGGGAAGACGGACGTGAGCGACGAGATCGAGGATGAGAACCAGCTCATAGGCACGCAGGACGAGAAGCAGGTGTGTCGGTGGGGTGGGTGGCAGACTGGTGGTAGTGTAGGGGCAGTTGTGTGGGAGTGTTTGTGGGGGGTTGTTTGTGTGTGGGGGTGATTGTTTGGGGGCAATTGCGAAGGGATATTTGTGTAGTGGTATTTGTGTTGCAGCATTTTTTTTCTGTAAACTATGTGTGTCCGTGTTTTGTTTTATCCGTTTCAACTGTAACCTTCTCCTGTTCGACCCTTTGTCGCTTGTCCACTGCACCCTTCGTCTGTTCTGCACCACACACGCTCGTAACCCTGTTTCAACTGCACCCTTCTTTACTGTCCCCTATTTGCCTCTCCTCTCCCTACACGAGCAGGAGGAGGAAGGGGAGAAGGGGAAGGGGGACAAGCTCCCCAAGGGGATCGAAATGCAGCAAGACTTCGATGGGGAGATGCATGATATAAGCGAGGATGAGGAGGAGGAGCAGGAGAAGGAGGAGGAGGGGGAGGAGGAGCAGCAGCTAGACGAGGAGATGGGGGATGTTGGTGATGATGCTGATGTGGTCGATGAGAAGATATGGAAGGGGGAGGACGAGGAGGAGAAGGAGGGGAAGAGGGAGAAGGAGAAGTTTGAGAAGGATTCGACGATCTCGGGGGCAAGAGAGGAGGATTTGGAGTATCGGGGGAAGGATGAGGAGGATGAGGAGGGAGGGGAGGGAGGGGAGGATGATAAGGAGGGGGGGGAGAAGGATGGTGCAAAGGATAAAGAGGACGAGAAGGAGGAGAAGGGGAAAGAGGATCCGCAGGCGAAGAAGGATGAGAAGGGAAAGAAGCAAGGGGAGGAGGAAGGCGAGGGGCCAGAGGAAGAAGGGGGAGAGGAGGAGGGTGAGGTGAATGAGTGGCAGGGAGAAGGAGAGGAGGAAGGGGAGGAGATGGAGGAATCTCATGGAATTAAACCGAGAAAGGAGGAGGAAGTTCCGGAATTAGACCTTCCGGATGATATGGAAATAGATGAAGGGGAGGAGGGTGGGAAGGAGGGAGGGGAGGACGAGGAAGGGGAGACAGAGGTTGAAGAAGCTAAAGAGGCGATGGGAGCACATGGAAGGCCGCAGGTAGAGGAGGAGGAGGAGGAGGAGGAGGAGGGAGAGGTGAAGGATGATGAGTGGGATGAGATGGATGGGGCGAACGATGGTGCTGGGGGTGCTGCTGCTGACGCTGCTGCTGGTGGGGAGGAGGAGGGAGGGGAGGAGGATGGGGAGGAGAAAGGTGAGGGAGAAGGGGAGGGAGAAGAGGAGAAGGAGAGGGATGCAGGTGTGGAGAAGGAGGAAGGGGAGGAGGGTGAGGAGGAGGGAGAGGAGGGAGAAGAAGGGGAGATGAAGGATGGTGATGAGGAGGGAGGTGAGGAGGAGGGAGATGATAAGGAGCCTGAGCAGATGGGTACTGGTGCAGAAGCAGCAGTAGCAGAGGAGCAGATGGAGGAAGAGAAAGATATCAAGGGGACGAAATCCGCCAGGGATCAGCAGCAGCAGGATGGGAGCGAGCAAGTAGCGGGAGTGCGAGCAGCAGGGACTGCTTCTGTTGATGTTATGGGTATGGAGGAAGAGGAGAATGAGACGAAGGGGCAAGGTAAGGAGGACGAGGAGGAAGATGAAGAGAGGAAGGAGAGTGAGAAGAGCATGGAGGGTGGGAAGGAGAAGAGGAAGGGGAAGGAGGGAGGGAAGAAGGAGAGGAAGAAGAAGGAGAAGGAAGAGGTGAACCCGTTTAGAAGCTTGGGCAGTGCGTTAGAGGCTTGGAAGAAAAAGGCTAGTATTGCAGGTGATATGGAGGAGGAAGGCGAGGAGGAAGAGGAGGAGGAGGTACACGGAGAGACGGAGAAGGATAAGGATGCAGAAGGGGAGGAGTATGAGTATGTGAAAGGAGAGGAGGAGGGAACAGGACAGGCAGCAGGAGCAGCTACAGAGGAACAGATGCAGGAAATGCAAGGAAAGATGGTGGATGAGGGGGAGGAGGAAGAGGGAGCAGAAGGGAAGGCTGGAGACGAGGAGGAAGAAGTGGAAGAGAAGGAAGAGGAGGGTGAGGAGGATGGGAAGGAGTCGGAGAAGGTAACTGGTGGGGGGCAGGGGGGGAAGAACAAGCAGAAGATGATGAAAGATGCAGCAGAGGAGGATGATGGGGAGGAGGGGGAGACAGGAGAGGCGAAGGAGGGTGAGGAGGAAGAGGAGGAGGGAGAGGAGCTAGAGGAAGGTGAAGAGATGGAAGTGGATGGGGATGGGTCTGGAGGCATGGAGTCCAGCTTCGTATCCATGCGGTGGAAAGAGGAGGCAAAGGAAACAGCGCAGGTGCGAGAAGCAGAGGGGGGGAAGGAAGAGGAAGTGGGAGAAGCTGGTGAGGAAGGAGCAGGGGAGGGGGGCACTGTTGGAGGAGCGAGGGATAAGGTCTGGACGGAGATAGAGCTGGAGCAGATGAGAGCGGAGGTGGAGGCAGAGATGCAGAGGATGAGAGAGAGTGAGGAGGGAAGGCAGAAGCTCGAAGCAGCGCGGGACGCATGGCGGAAATACGAGCTGCTGTGCAGTGGTGCGGCACAGGAGCTTGCAGAGCAGCTGCGGCTGATTCTAGAGCCTTCCATGGCGACCAAGCTGCAAGGGGACTACCGGTCGGGAAAGCGGATCAACATGAAGAAAGTGATTCCGTACATTGCAAGCGGGTTCAAGCGGGATAAGATTTGGTTGAGGAGAACACGCCCGGACAAGCGCAAGTATCAGGTGGTGCTGGCGATAGACGACTCTCGGAGCATGTCAGAGGCGCGGTGCGGGCATCTAGCCCTCGAAGCAATGGCCACGATTTGCCGAGCCATGGCGACGATCGAGGTTGGGGAGATCGGGGTCGTTGCTTTCGGGGAACCTGGTAACGTGCGCATGTTACATGAGCTTGACCGGCCATTCTCCCCTGAAGCAGCTGTTCAGGTCATCTCTCAATTCTCGTTTAAGCAGGACAACACGATTGCAGATGAGCCTATGGTGGAGTTGCTAAGATTTCTGTCGGGTGCGCTGGATTCTGCGGCGATGAGGTACTCGGCGAGTGCGGGCGCGGGAGGGGGCGGGCATCTGGAGCAGCTGGTGCTGATTGTGGCGGATGGGCGGTTCCACGAGAAGGTATGGCATGGTGGATGGGTGGGACATGGGATGGGAGATGGGATGGGAGATGGGATGGGAGATGGGATGGGAGATGGGATGGGAGATGGGAAGGATGGCGCGTGGCATGGCACGAGGCTTGGGGGATGGGATGGCACGTGGCATGGCACGAGGAACGCCTAGAAGTGCATAGAGATAGGCAGCCCTTTTATTCCAAGGCTAGTCGTTTCTTTCAGCCGCTTCTTCCACACTCTCTGTCTGTTCCCCATCTCAGACCAGACTGCTCCCCTCCACCCCACGCATCCACTTTTGAGTCGACTCATCAAAAGTCATCTCGGTCCCCATCTCAGACCAGACTGCTCCCCTCCCCACGCATCCACTGCTCTTCCAACAACGCCTTCTCTCATCCCCCTTCCTGACTCTCCCATTCTCCCTCCCTGCCTCCCCCTCACTGTCGACGTATCCCCTCTCCCTCTCACCAGGAGACCCTAAGGCGCACGGTGCGGCATGCCATGGGCAAGGGGCAGCTGCTGGCGTTCATTCTGCTGGACAGCCCTGCTGACTCCATCCTAGACATGCAGGTATGCATACTCCACCTGAAACCCTGGACTAACCCCAAGCTCTGTACCAAATTCCGAACCTAAGCAGCAGCTGCCGGTATTCATTCTGCTGGATAGACCTGCTGACTACTACACATGCCGGTGAGCATGTTCTACCCGAAACCTTGTCTTACACCCCTACTGTATAGCATACTGCATGCTAATTACCAAATGCTTTGCCTCTCTGGCTAGCAAGCAACCCTGAGCCAATGCCCACCACCCCAGTTGCTGCTGCCTACATTGTCTCTACCCCCATTCTAAGTTGGATCTGACGGTTACGTTGTTTTACGTTTACTTAGTTTTACGTAATTTATTTACGCTTACGAACGCTTGCCTGGTTTTGGACTTACGTTTACGGTCAGCCTGAAACTTATTTTAGTTGCCGGAAGAACAACCGTGGTGGGTGTTAGGGAGGAGCCTCGTGTAGACAAGTGCATGTATATTAAAATCCTTAAGGGTATTCAATTCAACAATAATAAAAGCTCACGAGAACATCGTAAGTAGTTCTACCCCCTAACCCTCTCTCTTCTCTTCCTTGTCCTCGTCGTCCTCCACTTTCTCTAACACTTTCCAATGTCCTGTCTCGGTTTTTCCGATTTGTTTCGATAATTCTCGATTAAAAACCACTTGGTTTTTTTTCCAGCTGCCCGACGTAGAATGACGCGTAATCTAACCTAAATAAACGTAAACGTAAATTAACGCGTTTTTTACGTTTGCGTCAGCCCTAACAACGTCATTGACCAACTTAGCTCCCATTTGCTATCAGCATTCAAGCAAGCTGCCTCCCTGACTCCACTTTCTCACGACATTAGGCTCGTCTAGCTGTGTGTATCAAGTACCAGTCATTTCCAGCTAGTCCTTTCCCCCATGTGTCATCGTCTTCCATTCTTTGCCCGTTTCCCATCTTCCATACCCTTGCCCCTCCATCAGTCGGTGTCGTCTCACCTCAAAGTGCATCTCCTGCGCCTGCCTTGTCCCTCTCCCCCTGCCCGCTCTCCCTTTCCCCCTTCCCCCTACCCTCACCCTCCCACTCCAGTCTGTCTCGTTCTCTGACGGAGTGCCATCCTTCTCCAGCTACCTGGACTCCTTCCCCTTCCCCTACTATATCTTGCTGAGGGATATCCACGCTCTCCCCCGCACACTCGCAGGCCTGTTGCGACAGGTATGATGACATAGTCAATGCGATGTCACTGTATACAGTATGTGCATGTACAAATGGCAGGCCATGTGACTGTATACGTGCCTTGCTTGTGTGAGGCTCTGGCTTGCAAGCTTTGCCTGTGATACTGTATGGTGGACACCAGCGTGCACTTATGTAGTAGTCGCCTGCTGCTTCTGATTGCAGCAACCTCTTCCCTCCCCTCACTTCCTTCCCATCCGTTTGTCCCTCTGCCCTCCCTGCTCGCCCCTCTTTCCTCCTGCAGTGGCTTGAGTTCGCTAGAAGCAGAGGGCAGTAGACAGCAGTATATCAGTGGGAGATACATTGCATCACTATATTTGCTTAGCAGTCTGCATGAATGTTTCTGTTAGATTATATGGCTTTTATGTCCACCACTGTGAACCGTTCGCTAGTGAGAACTTTGTTCCATGCTGCTACCGTTTGAGTGGTGTATCCTTCTAAAAGGGTAAGAATGTCCTAGCATGGGATGGAAACACGCCAGAATGATAAATATGGCAAGTGCATTCGATATGCACCTGCCAGATTTTTGCAGTGTTTTTTGCAAATCGGAGGAGAAAAAAAAATGGGCTTTGGGGAACTGCTGTACATTGGACTCAACAATCCATTCAATGGCAAGGATTATCATCAGGGTCCTCTTTTGTAGACAAACTTGTCCGAACGCCTGATTTTCAGACTGGTTTTTTAGGGTTTCACTTAAGTGGCTAGGTAGTTCTGATTTTGTCTGTTTGTCCGAATCAAACATGGGGGTACTGCTGTGTAGCTGTAGAACCACTTCATGCAATTATAGGTCTTTCCCTTGTTGGACTTCGCGAATGTTCACGTGGCAACTTCTAACTCATACCGGTAAGTTGCTGAGGGACAAGACACTTAGGCAAATAATTAGAAATTGTAGCCAATTGTAGCTCTCGGCAGCGTGGTACTGCAGACAGCGCAGAGGTTGGAGCAGCATTTATCGTAAAAGCTAGGTAGCTAGGAAGGGTAGGAGGCCATGGAAATGGCGTGAGGGTTTAGCTAGGAGAGATTTGACGAGAGAAAAGAGATTGAGAATAGAAGAGAGAGGCATACAAGGAGGGGGGTTGTACCCTCTACAGTTGGTTGCAATTACACCTACCAAGCCTACCAATTATATAACAAAGTATATAATTTAACACACCCCCTAGGCTTGGTAGTCACAAGCCTACCCAACACACACACACACACCCCCTGACCCCGTACACCCTCATGCTCGTGAGCAGCCGGGTATCCACCCCTCGTGCGAAGCGATGACACCCCCGGCGAGAGGCAGCTGGCGGCGTCTGGGGGGCCTCAACGACTACAGTGGCTGAGCTCATGCTCAAGGCGGCTGCGTCGATGACGGCAGGCGGCGACTGCCGCGGCTGAGGGCTCTCGGCGGTGTGGCACGACCCGGCGACGACCGGGTAGAAGACAGCAGCTGCGGCAGGAGGAAGAGGAGACGCAGGGGGGGGAAGGGGGGTGAAGCCCAGCAAAGCGCCCGCAGCAAAGCGATGCTGGCTGGCGTGTGGGCGAGCTGGCGGCACCTGAAACGTCAGGGCGCTGGCCGCAGCCGTCCGTGCGCTGGCGACACGGCGGCATGGCGGCGCAGCGGTACCGTGGCACGGCGGCACGGCAGGACGGCGGAACGGCGGCACGGAGGCATGGCGGCACAGCAAAGCCGCCGCCGCCACATCAGTGCGGCGAGGCTGGCACGGCTGCTCGACGAGGCAGCCATGTGGCGAGGCCGCCACGGCACCTCGACATGGCCGCCACGGCTGTGCGTCGAGTTCGTCATGGCAGCTTGGCGAGGTACGGCGGCGGCACGGAAGGGACGGTAGAAGTGCGCGGCGGAAGCGTGAGGAGCAGGTCCGGGACGGGCGACCTGCTCTGATACCATATCATAAAAGCTAGGTAGCTAGAAGGGTAGGTGGCCATGGAAATTACGTGAGGGTTTAGCTAGGGGAGAGTTGACGAGAGAAAGGAGGTCGAGAATAGAAGAGAGAGGCATACAAGGAGGGGGGTTGTACCCTCTACAGTTGGTTGCAATTACACCTACCAAGCCTACCAATTATATAACAAAGTATATAATTTAACAGCATTTGCCTCGCGATCACATGCCGGGAATCTATGGCAACATTTCTGTAGTAGATTCCCTCGCATCTGCTGTCCTCTATGTTCGTCGCGCCGCCAGGAAAACGAACCCCTCCTCCATTGAGGCACTACGTCCTCTGCATCCATATCTTGCACCTTCTGTTTTCAGTTTTTTAGACCCTTGTGCCATCAATGAGTGTAGTTCAGCTCATTCTGGTCGACGGTTATTTCCTGGCTCTATTTCATGCTTTCATCAAGCCCTGCATGGCTGACAACGAGGTTGAGGCTAAGGCTGATGGTCAGCCTGATGAGTCCACCCAGCTTGTCCCAACTTATGGTCTTGAACTTCCTAACGAGGTCACTAGCTTTAGGTGGTAGAACCGCTCCGTCGCACGCCGTAGTGCTAGAGCAGTCGAGAGCTCCCGCCGCTCCATTCCTCAGCCAGCGCCTAAGCCCAAGAATCTCGATCGTAATGGTGGCTGAGTCACCCAGAATTACAGGAGTTGCATGCGCAACTGGATTATCTGTTGGAGAAGAAATCATCCGCCCATCCTCACCCTACGCCGCCCCTATTCTTTCCACCCCCGAATAGGACGGAGGCCTTCGGATGTACACCGATTATCGCGCACTAAACAACGTCACCATCAAGTCACGTTTCCCGATTCTGCGAGCCGACGGTCACATCAATCAACTTCGCGGGGCCAAGAATTTATCCAAATTTGATCCATGAGGTTACCACCAGATTCGTTTTGCAGAAGCTGATATTCCGAAGACTGCATTCCGTACCGGCTTTGGCAGTTACGAGTACGAGGATTTACAAGCAATCACGGCTACTGTAGAATCCAACCCTGCAGTTGTTCTCCTGGACAACGGATGTTTGCACCACCTCATAGGAGACGGCAAGGCCTACGTTGAGATGCACGAGGACGGCAAAAACCAGCAAGTGCTTGGATTCCACGGTTCCATCCAAGATATTCGAGGACGAGGCACAATTGCTCTGCTCGGCAAGGCTGGGAAGAAGATTCTGGTTACTGATTTTCTCTACATTCCAGGAATTCAAGCAAATCTGCTGTCTGCCGGGCAGCTGAAGGAGTGCGGGGTGACGCTACAGGATTATGACGAGGACACCCTCATGCTTTCTATCGACTGTTGCAGCCTCACACTCGTTCTTCCTTTGGCGCTCCACCTCCCTCTGCTCCTCGGCTCGCCTCATCTCCTCTGCCGCCTACCACTCCGCCTCTCTCTACCGGTCCAACTCCCTCTGCTCCGCCATCCTGCAATTCACTTTGTACTCAGTACTGATCTGCAGCCATGCCCACTGCAGAGTGGCAGATGCAATTGCTCTGCGCACCTTAGCGATTGACACACGCTCGTCTACAGATGCATGGCAAACTCGTTCAGCGCACCTTCCCTGCAGAGGGGAGTGATGAGAATGTGTTAAGAGTACTGCAGGCCCTTCCAAGTTCCCCCCAAAGGAGACACTTTGGAGATGGGAGTGACTCACCAGTGGTGGATGGTGTTGGAGGTGAGGGAGTCAGGAAACATGGTACTGGAGGATGAGCAGGGCCATCAAGTGGTGGACCATGTTTAGTATGTGGCCAGGCTGCCCGGGCGCAGAGGAAGGGCAAGGATTCGGCAGAGCAAGAAGCAGAGCATGGTGCAGGCACAGTGGGGAAGAGCGGCAGAATCCTGGATCTCGTGACTCGGGCGAGGGCAGCGGCAGAGCACGGGAGGGGGCACGAGAGGCCGGGATAAAACTCGTGCACGACGAGGAAAAAAAAAAGGTGGAAGAGGACGAAAAATAGGGACCGGGTTGAGTTGGGAAGAAAAGGGGAAGCAGCAGGGCGAGAGAAGAGTGAGAGGAACCAGGCAGAAGGTGCGACAACAGCCATCTTGGGATGAAGTCCGAAGAGAAATATTGATAGGAGAAGGCATTACGGTACATAATGTACATGCTTTTAGATGTAAGAACTGTGCAAATGAGGGTGTATTACGGATGGCATAATGGTTCGGGGGGGTAGGCAAGCCGCTATCAGGGATGGCATGGGTTGAGGTGGAGCTAGCTGGCGGCAGCAACTCGCGGGTCAGCAGTCAACTAGCAGAGGACAGGCGGAGGTTCGGACAAGGCGGGGCTCGCCCAGACCTGTGATGATGGGTGGGGTGGGTTACTTTGTTCGTATCGCTTTGGTGTGCACGTGTGTGTGTGCAGGTGGCCAGCTGGATAATCCGTTTGATGGAAGGATGGATGCCAGTCGCTAATTGGCTCTTTTCTGCTCCTGCAGTGGGATGAAGAATAAGCTAGGTGTAGAGACTCAGGCTGTGAAGGGGAAAGATAGGCTTGTCGAGCATTTGCTTTGCTACTTATTTGTATGATTTTGCTTTCTTAGTTCAATGTTAGAGCCTCTTCCAACTGAGCTATACTTGGTGATGACCAAACAAAGAGGATCGGGTTGGGGCTAGTAGGGGCTTTTCCATTGAGAGGCCAGGATAAAACATGTGCAGGACAGGGACAAAAGAAAGGGGAAGAGGACATAAGATAGGGACGAAGTTGAGTTGGGAAGAAAAAGGGAAGAAGCAGGGTGAGAGAAGAGTGAGAGGAATCAGGCAGAAGGTGCGACGGAGGTGGTGCGGGCGTGGGTGGTGGAGAAGGCGGGCTGGACGAACGGTGCGGTGCCGGGGGGGTGTGTGGAGGGCACCATACATGTCGGGTGCGCTGCTGCGAGGGGTTGTGGGGTGTGTGACTACAAGCCCCAGGGAAACGTCGTTCGCTCCACTCCTTGCCAGGAGCACTTTCTATGGGAACAAAGATGGACGGATCTCTTGTTGCTCTAAATTCCTCTTTGGAGCGAGTTTCTGCAAAAGAGAGTGTGTGCAGGAGCAACGTAGATGGAATAAGCATGGCATTCCGAGCTTGGAGTCTAGCTGTAAGCTAACGGAAGTGATGGGCTTAGTGTAAGAATAGCGCGAGAAAAAGTGTGGCTAGGAAGACGAGAGAAGAGATACAAGTAGTGATTGTTATCCCCTCTACGAGCTGGCCTAACTAGGCTATATACCAAACATATCTAATCTAACAAGATATAAGTATACTGTATAGTAATATATATTTGTTGACACACCCCCTTGCCTAGAGAGATGCAGACTTTAACGAACAAGTGCAGCACTAGCAGTTTGAACTCTGGTGAAGGTAGCAAGACAAGTCACGGCAGACGACCAAGACAAGAGGCCACAAGGAAATGTGTAGCAAGACAGATTGGTATAGAATAACAATTACAAGAATGTATAGTATATATCAGGATACAAGGAGTGGTGCTGCTATTGAGACTAGATCAAGCTGAGTACAGAACCGCTGATGGTCACGAGGCGGTAGTGCCTTCATAAAGATATCAGCGGTGTTGTTCTCTGTGGCCACGTGTACTACC